GAATGCACGGCAAAAGGACAAAGCTTACCAGTTCACTGCCAAAGACCAGGATGGGCAACGCTGCCTGGCGACGCTCGCGATCGTTGAGACGCGAGCGGCTGCGATTTGGGTCCGCTTCGAGCAGCGCATTGCCCTGGCACTCCCTTAAAAATTCATTAGTATTTGAGCTAAATGGTTAAGGTAACGGAACGACAACGTTTACGGGAAAAAGAGAAATGAAACGAAACGAAAGCACCAAAAACATCGATGACGGTTACTCTTACGGTCTTTTAAATGGCGGGTCTATAAGTGTTATGATTATGTTGTTCGTTTATTCCTCATGCCGAATCATGCAACATTCTCGCTATTCCTAACCACAACAACAACAACAACACTAGCAACAGATTGTTTAAAACTTACTGCCTGAGGGTGGGAATAGCTCGCTCCTCGTAATCCTCATAGGAGTTGCGCGGCGCACTTTTATTGCGCCGTCTCAGCGATCCCTGTCGACTGGACATGGGTGAACTGTGCCGCGATGCCATTGGCAGCCGGGGCGATTGGGGCAACTCGTCGTGCGACTTGGCCAGCAGATGCAGTGCAGCAGCCGGCGCGACAGCGGCGCTCACGACATCGTCGATTGGTGATTTCTCGAGCTGGGTACTGGTGCGTTTCGGACTGACGGCAGCCTCGGCCAGTGCATGCGCCACATCCTGCAGACTAGGTGCAGGCGGCAGACTTGGTTTGCCGCCCGCATAGATTTCGCAGCTCTGATCGTTTTGGCTAAGTGCCCCGTCGGTTTCGAGCAGCTGATGTACTTGCAGCTGCTTGAGTACGCACGCGCGATACATTTCGATCTGCTCTTTGCGCAGCTTGGCTGCGCTGAAGTCTTCTTGTTGCACCGCCTGGCGCTTGGCCAGCGCATATCGGCCCAGGCGCTCGCCTGCCGTTCGCAGAGCCGTCATGCAAAGCTTCAGCTTTCGGGCATATTCGAATCGTTCGGAGCTGACCGCCTTCAGCTTGCACTGCTCCAGCTCGCGTATGTACTGCACAATTGACTCTTCCACGTACATCGAAAATAAAAGGTCATCACACATGGAGGCGAGGGCCAGTTCACCAGTGGCGGTGTCTATAGGCGGCGTCTCGCTGGTCAGATGCTCGTCGCCATCGTTTATGGCAGCCGATTCCAGATCCTCACCGAGCACATTGACCGCCATAAGCGCAATCTGTTGACTATCGTTGAACTCATTGCAATGGGCACCAATCAGGCGCAGCTTCAGATGCGTGCCACGTCTTGGATTCACAGTAACGCTCTGCAGCTCACGTGATTTGTAGTTGGTGTTCGCATTGTCGGCGAGGGCGACAAATCCCAGAAAATCAAAATACTGCGAGGACGGAGTGCTGGGTATCGACTTTGGAGAATAGTGTAGCCAGAGCTCCACCTTTTCGGCTGCAAATCAAAAACAATTATCTCGTTATCCAACATTGTTAGCGGGCTCTCAACTCACGTATCAAGTACTGATGAGCCAAGAGCTGAATGAGATAAATCTTGGCCGGCTGCTGGAAACGGAGAATGATGTCGTGCGTGCTAGCACCGCTGTCCACGGCGCTGCGCCAGCCGTGCACCGTGGGGCCATGTGTGTTTAGTTCGCTGGCCGGGAAGCCGGCGTCTTCGTCTGGAAAACAAAACAGTGCCAACAATTTATTTGGATAAACAGTGTTGGTTAACAGCGTTTACTGTAAGCAACATCACAACAAATGTTAACTGTTATCAGCTTAAGCAGATGTAAAACAAAGCCGCAACACACAAACAAAAAAAAACTTTAGAATGACGCTATCATTCAGGTACACACATCTATACGTGGCTCTGGCGACGCGTCGACGCTCCGTCTTATCATCTGCCGCACTATTATACGCGTAGCCGAGGTAGCTTTGCGCTAGTCGCGTCTGTTGCCTGGGCCGCAGCACATCGAAATTTGTTTAATAGAGTTTGTAATTGTTTTCGGTTAAAATTAACAAACATGTCGCAAACTACAAAATTATCGCCGATGTCATCCGCATGGCTGCAAATTCAAAGCATATTGAACAGCATAAATCATATGCTGATCTTTCTAGTAGCTATCTTCTTCTTCACACTGGCCCGTAGTCTGGACTTTCAGGATACGGCCATGCACATGTTCATGACGGGCATCGGTGTGAGTAACTGGAATCTTTATCTATATCGGGCTTAATAAATGTCCATTAAGTCTCCTAAAATGGCCATGTCATGGTTATCATGTCGCACGCTCTGCTAACTGTTAACTTATCATTGATTTTGTAACCTTTATACCTTTTTGCTTTGTAGTTTCATGTACTAATTGCGCAGGCTTTGATGTCGCATTACAAGCTAAATCCGATAACCCGCTGGATATCGCACAAGAACAAATCCCGTTTCCATGGCCTGCTGCAGCTAGTCGGCGGCTCAATGGTGCTGCTGGGCGCCCTGGGCAAGTTCTCCCAGAAGGACGTGCACTTCAATACATGGCATGGGCGGTTCGGTGCGTGTGCGCATAAATTAAACGGTTCAGTGAACACTTCTAATATTAATTGAGATTTCAGGTGTGGCCGCTGCCTTCGGCTGTGCCGCGAGCGTTGTTGGTGGCCTGGTTAACTTTTTCCAACCCAAAATGGTGTTGAAAATAATGCCAGCCTCCGAACTGCGTTTTCGTCATAATCTGTTTGGACTCGTCACCTTTACGCTGGGCATGACCGCAATTTATCTCGGCTACTACTCAAAGTTCTTTACACGCTATGTGGATCATCAGTTTATACCTGCCATGATGTTGGCCACCGCACTAGTCTACCTGCTGACCATAATTGGACCCCTGGGCTCGCTGCTAACAAAGCTTAAATACAGACGGCAAAGAAATCATCAGCAGTAGCCAGAAGTCCACGTTAGAAGGATTTCGAAATGGTGGAGGTTATAAGGCTAAAATGGGTTGTTTCGGCGTATGAGTAAAATAAATAAAACAAACTTTGTAAAGCTCAATGAAAGCAATTCGAACAGTCAAGTCGGTGCGCTTGGCCGGCTGCCAAAATTCTTTGGCTGCATATTAAATTATATATATATGTGGCTCAGACGCCAGACATATTATGACAATCCGCAATCGGTCATTATAAAGATATATGCTGACAATGGCACGTGGAGAATTCTGATTAAAATGCATTATTACAGATGGAAAATAATTTGTTATGGATTTCTTTGCAACGCTTTCAAGTTATCTTCATACAAAGCATCATTTAAGTTTAAGTTTATAAGATGTTCTATATCTACATAAATGAATAAAATAAAAAACATTGTTACCATGCATTTACAGTTTTATTGAACTTTCGAATGTTGTTTAACTAGGCGTATGCGTGTTTTATCGATTTCTCAAGTTAACCCTAATGGCGCGCTAGGCTCGGCACTGGACTAGTAGCCCAGCGGCAACTATAACTGGAAGCACAATGTAAATTAAGAAAAATCAAACAATCAAAAATAATCATTAAATAAAGTTCGAGAAATGAAAAGCACAATTCTACAGAGCTTATGTTTTCGATATGTTTACCTGAGGCGAATACCACATTGAATGGTATTTTCTTGGCCATTATGTAGCAAGAAACACTATACAACTTCGCGTGCACTCATTTACTTAAATGCAGTCAGTAGTATGCTGCGCGTTGCCGTGAGCCGCGTCAATTGTTTGACGCACAAACTAAGCGTAAATTAAAGAGCGGTTCATACCGAATCTGCGGCCAAACGGCGTTTGCACAGTTGCTGCTCTTGTAGCTTATTGATAACGGATATCGATAAATATCAGCTGCTTGAAAAACGGTGTTTACCAACACTGCTATCTGTTTCGGTTTTAATTTGTATCGTTCATTTGAGTTCCATTCGAGGCTTAGCGAACTAAATGAACTATTTTACAACCGGTTCGCTCTTGGACCGAACAACTCTGTTTGGCATGTTATTTGTGTAAGCAAAACAAAATGCCAACAAATGGCCACAAATACAGCATTTTGCTGCCAACATACAATGAGAAAGACAATTTGCCAATTATTATATGGCTTATTGTGAAATATATGAAAGCTAGGTGAGCACATGACATACTATACATACGCTGGCAACTCGACTAAAATTGTCTTTCCAGCGGCTACGAGTACGAGGTGATTGTTATTGACGATGGCAGTCCGGATGGCACATTGGACGTGGCTAAGGATTTGCAGAAGATCTATGGCGAGGAAAGAATTGTCTTGCGTCCGCGCGCAGGCAAGCTCGGCCTAGGCACAGCCTACGTACACGGAATTAAACACGCCACCGGCGACTTTATTATTATCATCGACGCCGATTTGAGTCATCATGTGAGCATAGACCATAGCCATGACGTGTTACGTGGATGGGGTAAAAATATTTGCTTGTTTATTTCATTGCAGCCCAAGTTCATACCCGAGTTCATAAAGCTGCAAGAGTCTGGCGACTATGACATCGTTTCCGGCACACGATATGCCGGAAACGGCGGCGTTTACGGCTGGGATTTTAAGCGCAAGCTCATCTCGCGCGGTGCCAATTATTTGTCCCAAGTGCTCTTACGACCCAATGCCAGCGATTTGACGGGCTCATTTCGGCTGTATAAGAAACCGGTACTGGAGAAGTGCATTGCCAGCTGCGTATCGAAAGGCTACGTCTTCCAAATGGAAATGTTGGTTCGCGCTCGCCAGCATAACTTCAGCATTGCCGAGGTGCCGATATCCTTCGTGGATCGCATTTACGGCACTTCCAAGCTGGGCGGCACGGAGATCATTCAGTTCGCCAAGAATCTGCTGTATTTATTCGCCACAACCTGAGGAGAAGTTGCAACAGACGAGAACAACAATAAAGCTATATACATAGATGACTTAATGAAATTTGTATTTGTTATTTTTTGGTTATTTGCTTAGCCTTTTGTACATGTGGTAAGTTTTTAAGAATTTTACATACAACTAATGAATTATGCATGAGAAGATTCTTTTTTTGTGATATTTATATCATTCGGAATTATAATTTCTTTTCATTTGTTTCATATATGTATGTTTTAATTTGAATAATGATATCTAATGTTAATTGATCCAGGTATCTGACCCCATTAATTACTTAAATTGAAAACTTTGTGCTGGTTGTCGGGATTGCCATATAAGGTGCCACAGTCATCCTCCAGGGCGTTGGCAGTGCTGCTGCCACCATAATTCTTCAGCGCCAGCGTCAGCAGATCATTGCGATCTCTGAGGGCCAATACAACGAACGCACCATTTGGCAATATCTCGCAGGTGCTGATCTGTGCCGGGGGCTTAAAGACAGCCAAGGATTTGGCTGAAAACAAGAGCGAAGAAGTTAGACGACAGTGACTTGAAACTCGACCAGTTTCCTCACCTGAGCTCAACTCCCACATGCGTATCGCGCTGTCGCGGCCTTCCTTGTCGAACGACAACAACACTTTGCCCAATGGATCCAGTTTCAAGTATGTGACAGGCGCATTGTGTCCAATAAGCGTACACTTGCAGTTGCCCGTAACCAGATCCCATATTAATATCTTGGCATCCTCCAGGCCGGCAATGACACAAGCGTTCACTTGGGATATGGCCAGAGCAACTGTGTTACAGCTGGGCTTCCATTTCTTGAACAAAGTACCGCTCTGCAGATCATAGACCACAATGAAATTTGGCGTTGTTGGCTCGTTGAGTTCCTTGGCTACCACACACACATAAGATCCCTCGTGCGTGATGGCTGACAGCGAGGTGACAAAGTCATGATGCGGAATTCGCAGATCGTAGAGCAATTTACGTTGCGATAAATGCCAAACGAGCAGAGGAAATGGCTTCTGCGTCTCGTCGCCGCAAACCAAAATCCTAAAACGAATGCAAATTTTAGGCCAAATTTTATGTGGTCGACAATAAACTGCTTACCGTCCGTCGCCGGAGACTAGCAGCGAGTTCAGGAAGCGATCCTCGCCCGCCTTAAAGGTGGTCACACAATCGCCCGACTCCAGATTCATTAGATTCACATACATGCGATTGCGTGAGAGACAAACCAGGTGGTTCTGATCGTGCAGGCCAAAGTAGGGCATCTTCTGGTTCATCACGCCCTTTAATGTGACCTGCCAAAAGTAAAATTGGATAACATCAACAAAGTCTCCACATGATGTTCTCTCAATATGAAATCTTACCTTAAACTTGCCCTCGTCCAAGTTGATGACTCGAATCTCGCGACGACACAGCACAGCTGCCTCGTAATTACCAACTGGACACATGGCCGTCGGCTGCGGTATGCCCTGAAGTTCGCGTATGCGACAGCAGTTCTTTACATCCCAGATGCAAATCTCGGCACGCTCTGTACACAAGGACGCCACATAGCAGCCCGGTTGCGGCAGATTCATGAGCACATCGTAGCCCCGGACAGAGGCTGAAGCGGCTTGGCTGGAATCGTCGCCTTCGACTGGTCCCTTATCATTGTCATTGTCATTGGCATCGAGATCGGCGTTGAGTATCTCGAGAAAGGCAAACTCCAGCTCATTGGTATACTCCCACCAGGAGCGTATTTTCTCATCGTCTTTAAGCTCAGACGACTCCTTGAAGCGCGTCTTCAAATAATATTTCATAAGCGTGTAGAATTGCTGACCGTCATAGCTGAGCTCGTGGAGGTATCGCACCAGGAACTGCTTTAGAAAGTTGATATGCACATAGCCCTTGGATCCCTCCTGGCCAGCCAACCACTCGGCATGCAGAATGTCATGCATTAAATGCGCCGGCCCCGTTGCATGCACCTTATTGGCTATCCACTGCAAGTCCGTAAAGTAGAAGCAATTGTAGAGTATATCGATTTTGTGCGCCGCCGGCTTATCCTCGATAACCGCACAGAAGTGATGATAAGGCAGTTTTAAGTACTTCTGGTAGTTGTAGCTGAAAATGTTATGGATTGCATTTAAAGTGTCCATCAAATGGGAGGAAGATGTGTACTTACGTTTTCGCGCCAGCGCTGCCCTTGAACTCGCTGTCCTGACGATCGAAGTAGTCCCGTAGCGCTTCATGTACCAGCCACTGCTTCTGCGCATACCTCGCCAGGACGGCGCGCCCGAAGCTTCTGTCCGCTATTCTTATATTCTTAAGACCTAAAAGCATTGGCCCCATCAGCCAACAGAACTTGGACCATATTTTGAAGACGACCTGCGCCTCCAGCTGTGTGATCTTTTGAAAAACTCCCAAGCAATCGCTCTCGCGTATGCCCCAAGGCGAGAGACGCACGATCAGAAGCAACAGTTCCACCTGGTCGGCGGCAAACTTGCTCTCTAGCACCTGCAGTATCTTACTGGATATGTCGCCGATTTCGCTGATCGGCTGCGACACATGGCCAAGCCAGGCCAGCCACCAGAGCGACTTCGCATGGTATGGCGTCTTGCCGTGCAGAGATTTCCAATCGTCAGGCAGTTTGAGCGCCCCGTTTGCCGCGTAGAAGTCGCCGCCGCCGGAGCTGAGTATATCGTGCCACTGGCGCTCCGTAAACTGGCGCAGACGAAGAAAACAGCGCTGCGGAATGCCCAGCTGCGCCAGCGCGGCGAGCATATCAAACGAATCACCGCTAGCATCCTCGTCCTCCTTCTCGCTGACAGTCAATATCAGCTTGCCGCAGCTGCCCAGCTGCATCGGCAGCCAATCCAGTGCCATATCGCACTGCAGCTCATCCAATCCATCGATAATCAGCACAAAAAACCGCTGTTGTCTTCCCAAAATCTCCCTTATAACTCCGGCATAGGCTTCCAGTGTCTGTGGATGAGTGTACGAATTGAAACTTTGGCTTTGTGCTAATCTCCGGTCTACTTACGTGTGGCACCTGACATTGTTGGCCCGTCTCGAGCACCGACATTTGATTGGCTATGGATCCAAACAGCGAGCTGATGTCCGAGGAGCGTGCGCTCAAATTGGCATATCTGAAGCAAAGAAACATGTATTTGCTTAGATTAGGATTACAATGCACATCAGGGAACTGTCTTCAACGGGACGCAGACAATTTTATACTCTTGCATGAGGTATGGAGAATGATTCAATGGGGAATCTCCAAGAAAGTAGAGCTGGTATTACAAATTTTAATGAATTTTGAGAAGATTCATTCTAAATGGGAAATGAGGATTGAAGATTATATACTGAACTTGTGTCTTTAAACATACGAGGTCGGAAAAAGAAGCGGACACCTTTTGACCAGCTGGCTTCGTCTTTAAATATAATCTCTGTGGACAAAGCGTTGGGTTTCCCTTTCTTTGATTCGACTCACCTCAGCACCAGCTGTGCCTCCGGCTTCCAACGATGCACGTTCTCCATAATCTTGGACACGAGCACACTTTTGCCGCTCCCTCGAGCACCTGAGATGACCAACGGTTGTGCGGTTCCATCGCGTATGTAACGCTTGACATCATTCATGATGTCGAAGTTGGCCGAGTTCTGAGCGAGCAGCTTTGAGTAGTGGCCAATCAGCTGAATCTCTTCGAGCAGGACGCGGTCCACGCCCAGCGTGTTGTAGGGTATGCTCTTTTGCTGATGCTCCTCAAAGATGCCCGCCAGCGATTTGTCCAGCAGATTTTCAATTACCGCAGACAGTTCGTCGTCGAGGATGTTCATGGTGGGCAACATTCGTATGAGATTCTTCTCGCACAGCTGACTCTTGAGCTCGGCATAGATGCGTGTTATGCGCCGCAGCACCTCGAGCTCCAGCTGGATGGCGTTATCAGGGGCGCGTGAGTAGTGGGCACCTGTTTGTATCCAAATGCAGCGTTTGGCCAGCTCCTGACTTATTAGCACCGTGTTGTTGATCTCCTGCTCGACGACAGTTGTCAGATACGAATCCTTGACGTCGTCCGAAAAGAGACGCAGCAGCACGGCGAGCAGCTCGTTCAGCTCGGCATTGACCTGCGTGGAGTAGGGATCGATTTGCTGCGTATACAGCCGATGGCACATTGGCTGATACGAGTTATCAATGGTATACCACTTCTCCAGCAGCAGTTTCTCCGCGTCGCTGGCGGCGCTCAGTACCGAGGTGAAGTCCTGGCTCTCGATTGTGAGCGGCAGCATGGGTGTGCCCAGGGTGGAGCCCAGAAAGAGCACGGGTATGATGTAGGCTCCGGTCGCATGGCGGGTTATTTCGCACAGACAATTGGCTGCCTCCTCGTGGCCGCCCTGTGCCTCCAGCGGCGTTTGCGTCCAGCGCTTAACCTCCTGCAGCCTTGAGAAGTCCTTTTTTGGATTGCCATTCGCCTGCTCCAGCGACGCCCCCGTCGCTGCCGCATCCTTTGCCGTCGACTCGCTGTCGTGCACATCGGCAATAATAAAGTCGAATCCTTTGCTTTGGCACTTGCTTTTAAAATGTTTGTACAGGCTGTAGATGACACGCTTGTGCTTCTTGTACTCGGTGCTATTGTCGGCCAGTATATAGATGACAATCTTCTTGTCGCGCTCGATCTTGCGGCCGGGCGGCGGCTTGCCCTGCAGCATACTGAGATTGCTCATGCCCGGACTAACATTGGCCACATCGCTTGGCGCCTGCGCCCCCTGCGGTGTTGTGCTATTGGAGTCTGCAATTATCGAGAAGCTCATGTCACAATGGACCACAAATATATTTGCTGCTAGCCAAGAGCTCACCCTTCTCTGATGCAATCGGCTTCGGCTGGGGCATCTGATGTGGACGCTGCTGCTGTTGCTGCTGATTGCCACATGTGTCATTAATCTGCGTCGCCTCCGGCAGGGCCTCCACATCGGCCAGCGGCGCTCTTCTCTCCTTAATGTCGTTGGCATCGTGAGTTAGCAGCGCCTCCTTTTTATCTGCGCCGGCTTCCTCGTAGGGTGGGGAGCTGTAAAGCAATCAACATAATGATCATATGGAAATTTCGGGCATGAATTGTGCAATAAACGTACTCATCTGATTTCTCGGATGAGCTGTCCTTATCCTTCTTTTTCTTCTGGCCGGAGCTGCACACGTTGCCCATGTCTAACCTTTTAACCTTTACCAAGTTAAAATTAACTATTTATGTCCTGCAATTGATAAGGAAAACATAATTATCGTAACAAGTGGATAAATTGTGCAGAGTGTTGTCATCTTCATTGCATAAAATTAATTAATTGTTGCCAAGTAAATATGTTAATTGCAAATGCATTTTGAAGTTTATTTTCAGCTTTCTTAGCTGCGCTTTTTTATCTGAATTACAAGTATTTCGTTTTTATATGCAGTGTATCTCATGGTGCTTGGGTTCCTGTGGAGTGTCCCCATATCGATTTACATCGGCCTGCAGGGATGTGGCATTTGAAAAAGCCTAGGCTTTAATTTTACGCCAGGTACACACTGGCAAATCGCTGGAGGGGGGGCAAGCAGTTACGCACGGGCGGCAGTTCTTTTTTATAACAGCGGAAAATGCATACAAATGTGTATTTCAATATGTCGCACGTAAGAAAAGTGAAAGATTTTCTTTTGTTTCAGCCTAAATTCTCGTTATTATTTCGAGTATTTTGAGTCTTTCACTTCCACAACAGGTCAATGACAAAAACAAAAAAAAAAAGAGAATACTTTGCGTCCTGTGCGAAGAGAGAGCAACAGACTCAGAGCGCAAGAGGCAGAGAGAGCAGCAAAGAGCGAAAGCTCGCTCACCGAACGCATGCTCTCTGCTGAACTTTTATAGAGATTTTCTGCGTTCAAATTGGCATTGGCGTTAATCAAGTGGCCGCCTTGTGGGTGGGTGGGTGGTTGGCTGGCTGGTTCGTTGCTCTGTTGGTCTGGCCTGGTCTTGGTCTGGTCTGGTCTTGGTCTCGTTGCAGGTCTCGCTTTTTGGTCTCGATTTTTGTGTACACGCTTGAAAATTGTTGACGCGCAAACGGCTGACCCCTTGCGGATTCAATGTCTTCTGCGCTGCCAGCCAGCATATAAATATTTTTATTTATTTTTTTTGTTTTTGGTTTTTTGGGTTGAATATTTATTGGATATCAAAATATTTTCAATCGTGCCACCTTTTTTATTCAGTTGCTCTATAAATAAACTTGTTTCAAATACACACAGCACTCAATACATATGCACGAACAGACATACACACACATACACATATGTATTTAGAACATTTTGTTTTTTATTTGGCTCTTGGGTTCGACATTTTGTCGCGCATTTGTCGCACTTTTTGAAATCTCTCAATAGCAATTAATTTGTTCAAGCATTCCTTTAATAATAATAATAATGTTATTTATTTTTTTTTGCGCATATGTCACTTACACTGCTCGCATATGTGTGCGCTTTTGTGTGCTCATGTGTGTGTGCGAGAGGGGGTGGGGGTGTGCTTGTGTGTATGCATCGCTTAGTTGGTTTTTTGATTTATTTTAATACACAAATTCTGGCACTTACTTTTCTTTACGCGCTTTCCGCACGCGCCCCTCACTCCCCGCCGCACCCCAAAATCGACAACGAAACCAAAACCCGAAGCCCAAAACCGAACCCGAACCCTAACCCGAACCGAACCCAAAGCGAACAAATTTAAAACATTTCCACCCACTGCACTTGCACTTGCCGTTATTTGTTTTTGTTTCACTTTTTTATAACACAGCACTCTCAATTAATTGCTTAATAAAAACGCTCGCCGCACATTTGCACTAAGACATTTTCGACAACACAAAAAAAAAAATAATATTGTTTTCTGCTCTGCGCCTTTTTTTCGTCCCCCACTTCTTTCGTTTTCGCGCTTCAGATAGTAATTTTCCCGTTTTGTGCGTTATGCTCCGTGCCGTGCGTCGTTCTGCCTGTGAGCGTTGGAAAATTTCTCGACGAAGAAACGTGTGGCGAAAGCTTTTCAAGCGAAAGCTTTCACGCTCTCCCAAGTTCTTAGCGAGGGCTGCATTTGGTGAGGAAAAGTGTAGCAGCAACTGGAAAAGGGTAGCAAAAAAAACGTGTTTGAATCTGACCGTTAAAGTTGCCGGATTATATGAAATGTAAGTTATTAGCAAAGAAAAGCTCGAGCACAAATAAAAGATGTGAATTTGTAAAAGAGAATGCAACATTTGCTAATATCCAACATAAATATGGCATTCGTTGATTTCGGAGTGTTTAGCATGGACACAAACCGTACTCAACTTATCCGGACGCATCCTGTGCCTGTCAAAATGGATGCTGCTCTCGCCTCGCGTCGCAGACCGAGAGCAAAATGTCCAAAAATTTCAGCAGCTGAGCTGCATTTCGCGTTGTTTCGCCAAAGTGTGCAGTCTGCAGTTTTGTAAACTCCTCTCAAAATTCACAATAAATTGCTATAACTTATCAAAATAGTACACAAAATTCTACAGATGTAAAACGCAATTAGGAAGAAAAAAAAACACAGAAACAAGTTAAAAAACGGTTTTCAAAATGAATCGTCTGCTGCTGCAGTGTCTGGTGACCACGATTCTGGTCTACAAAGGTGAAAACCAAACGGTTACAGAAACAAATTGTTGCAACAATTACATTAAAATACTTAATTCGATTTTTAATTATGATTAAATTATATGGTAAAAGGTAGCTGACGGCAAAAGCTGAAAAATGTATATGCTGCTGGTTATATAAGCAGGTGCTCAATGCGCAGGCTCCGAATGCTGCCTGGACAGCCCGACCAACTGACGGACTGACTACGTCAACCTAAATGGGTCAATGTTGTCGAGGACAAGTCGGGCAGCAGAGCCTCTGCTTGGGGGAGGCAGCTGAGCAAAACAGAGAGCAGAGAAACGAGAATCAAAACAAAGGGGCTGATAATGGGGCTGGTTCAGTGACATCTAGATACTTGTTGGAGGAGTGTGTCAAACGCGATATTCAACGTTTATTTTATGCTCCTTGCAGTCATCTCGGTGCCCACCAGCCAGACAACAGTGGCCAGCGGACTAACCACCACGGAGATACCGCAACAGGATGATGACGATGACGACTGGGACGAGGGCGATGATTCGTTGGAGTCCGATGATGATGGGCGCGTCTATAAGAATCCGCGCAATTCGCCCTCCACGGAGTGCCCGCGGGATGAGGAGCAGGCCACGCTGCTGGGCCAGAAATGTTTGCGCAAGTGCTCGTCGGATGAGGATTGCAAGAGCAAGAAAAAGAAATGCCTATGCGATGGCGTCTGCGGCAATTCCTGCATCAAGCCCGGTAAGTCTGCAAAATATTTAAATCTAAATGCCAAATCAATTTGCTCGCTTATAATTTGATCACCTGCCGTAGATCGTGAATGTCCAGAGCTAGCCCAACCCAGTCTGGGGCAGGTCACCGTGGCCGGTCGTCACTTTGGCGCTCGCGCTTCCTATTCCTGTCCACATGGCTACCATGTGGTGGGCCTGCAGAGCCGCCTCTGCCAGGCCGACGGCAACTGGGCCGGCGCCGAGCCAGCCTGCAAGCAGAACAGTAAGCCCAGCCAAGCTATCCCAACAGCCTAATCCTTATGTTTATCCTCCATTTTCCATAGTCTACTGCCTGAAGCCGCCGCAGATTGAGCATGCACGCAACTCGGCACTGCCCGAGCAGGAAACCTTCGACCTGGACTCAACGGTTCAATACCATTGCTATACGGGCTATGTGACCAACGGGTTTCCACGTGCCAAGTGCCTGGCCATCGACAATCTGGCCAGCTGGTACGGACCGGACATACAGTGCGAACGTAAGTGCTGCAGGTGCATTCACATCTGAAATTCTCAAAAACAATATTAATATACAAAATGCAATTCTTAATAATATTCTTTTCACATTAGTTTTGCTTGCCATTAACAGTAGAGATTTTTTATAATATATTATCAGTTATTAAATTATAAATAATAAAAAAATAAAATAAAAAAATTATATAATAAAAAATATATAAAAAACAAGTAGATAAAATAAAAATATATATATATAAAATAAAAAAAAATATTTAAAAAAAATAAATATATAAAATATATAAAAAACATATATATATATATACATATAAATAAAAATTAAATAAAAAAATATAAATAATAAAAAAATATTAATAATTAAAAAATATATATAATACAAAATTATATATATAAAATATATAATGACATTAATAGTTCTGTTCCCTTCTCTACGAAAATGCAATCATTTTCAAACTATAAAATTAAATCTGATCCTTCATCTAGGGCAATCCCATCCTGTCTAGTCTGTATCCTCTCCAATTTTAAGCCTCTGCTACTTGTGCAGTTTCTAGAAAATATAACAACGATTAATGTTAATTGAATTAAATTCCACCTGCTTTACTTTACCTCCGTGTACAGCTCGTTCCTGTGGCCAACCTCCGGATCCCGCCTACGGCTGGCACGCCGGCGAGTGCTACACCTACGGCTGCAAGATAACCTACAACTGCGGCACGGGCTACGAGCTGGTGGGCAAGCACGAGCGCTACTGTCAATCGGATGGCTCCTGGACGCCCAAGGAGCTGCCGACCTGTGTCTGTGAGTATAATGCGCCATTTATCAGCCGGTAGTTATTATAATTTATTATGTCTTTATAATTTATCAATCCCCAAAAAGCGGATAACATTAACGCAAATCTAACTACGACCCAACCAGGCCCAATTAGAGCTTCCGAATAGTTTGCAATTTGTTCCGAGCTCAGCTCTTCCGATGCTCCTAGCTAAAATTGTTAATATTGTCGTTCTTCATTCAATAATATAACGAATTGTTCAAATTTTATGCAAAAAAAAAAGTTGTTGTTGTTGGCCCACAAAATGTTAATTGAATAAATAAAAGTTACCACAAATCTTGAGAAAAACTTGAAACCAAACCCGAGTTGTTTTATTTGTTGGCGGTCCATGCGAGCGATTTTCTAAGATTTGTGATAGCTTTTAAGCCAGCCCCCAACCCCGCTTCTAATTTACCCTCATCCTTGTCTACGCAGTGGTCACTTCTGTGGTCTGTCCCACGCCGGAGAATCCCAAGAACGGCAAGGCCACGTACACAACCTTGGCCTACAATTCGGTGGTTAGCTACGAGTGCCGTTATGGCTACACCCTGGTGGGCGAGAGCTCCAGCCGCTGCGGAGCCAGCGCCAAGTGGAGCGGCACCGTGCCCAGCTGCAAGGGTACGTACTTGCAGCTCTTGTATATGGATATCTGTTAGCCAACTTCTTGCAGAGATCAACTGCGGACATCCGGGCGTGCTGTACAATGGCTGGATCGAGAATATCGAGGCGGGCACGGGCCTGGGCGCCAGCATCATCTTTCGCTGCCAGCCGGAAATGCTGATCAACGGCTTGGGCTCCAGTGTCTGTCAAATCGATGGACGCTGGCGCAACGCCTTGCCCGAGTGCCTGGCGCCTTGTGTGGTGCCCACCATATCCCAGGGCTTTGTCATACCCATTGAGATAATAACCGATGAGAATGGGACTACGATAGTCACGGCCACGACGACCACAACGCCATCGCCCACCCAAATTGTGGGCGGCGTGGAGAAGGTCAGGCACGGCACAGCGCTGGAGGTCAAGTGCGATGAGAACTATGAGTTTCCCGTCTCGCTACTGAGTCCGCCAACCTGCAACAATGGCACTTGGAGCATCATACCACGTTGTGTGCCCGCACGTTGCAAGAGCATGCCCAAGCCGCCGAAGCATGGCATGGTAATGGCTCCCAAGACGGAGCACGGCATGAAGGCGAGATTCAAGTGCAAGGATGGCTTTAAGCTGGTCAGTCCCGAGGGCAAGGACATTACCGATCCGCACGACTATGTGCTTACGTGCTCCTTCGGCAACTGGACCGGCGAGACGCCCAAATGCGATGAGGTCTTCTGCTCCTTTCCGGGCTACATACCCAATGGCAAGGTGCTGCTCGTGGGCAACATGGGACTCTACGATTATCGGCCGTATGTCAAGAAGATTGTCAACAACAAGCAGATCATGTACGACTGCGACAAGGGCTACGTCCTGGAGGTAACCAAAACCCATTCCTTACAATTCCCAATTTGATTTCATGATCATTTTTTTCAGGTGGGCCCGCCTGGCGCTACCTGTGTCGGTGGCAAATGGCGTCCACTGGATCTGCCGCAGTGTCTACTTGGCCAGCATCCGCGTTTGCGCTGGAATCGTCGCCGCCGGCGTTCTTTGCAGCTGCGCCAGCTACGCTCCGTCTATCTGCTGCGGCGTCAGCGTCAACTCCAACGCCAATTGGCCGAGCACAAGGATTTCGCACGGCCGGGTGAGTTCGTAGTTCGGAGCTGCTTTCATGTGAATCCCGTCAGCGACATTTTTCTTACAGCTGGAACGGCGGGTGAAAGCAGAGTTAAGCGCAGCGCCTATCCCAATCCCAATCCGTCAGACATTGATGTGGCCTACTCCAAGTACTATCAGAAGATCAAGGAGCGCTACCTGCGCTATGTGCGAAGGATTTTGGGCCACAATCGCCTGTACAAGCAGGTGCACGTCCAGGACGGACGCTGGTACAACCAGTACAACAATCCGGAGCTGGTCATGATGCGCAAGGCCACCCACAAGTGGCGCAATGCAGCCGATGGCGAAGCCGACCTCGATGACTATGGGGACATGAACGAGTATCGTGGCGGTGTGCTCACCTTGCCCAACATAAATCAGAGCTCGCGTTATCGCTCGTCGCCCAGTTCCAATGAGGCACCAGCACCGACAGCCGAACGCCAGTTGTCCAGGAATACGACACGCGCTTTAATCGAACAGCTGAAATCCCAAATCGTGCGTCGTCGTCGCAAGCGCAGCGGCTCCACGGCGTCCGCGTCCTCATCGGCCACGCTGCCCGATGCCGACCTGGACACGAGCGATGGCGGCGAGGCGGGCAAGGCTGCCGGTGGCAAGCGGCTACGTGGTCCTTGCGAGGATCTCGACTGGGATTCGTTTGCCAATATAACCACGGTGCGACCAGGTAAGGCGCCGGGCAGAAACTCGGTGGGCATTATGCTGCATCTGGAGTGCAATGCGGGCTTCAAGCTGAACATCAAGGGTGAGAATGCGACGGCACGTTGCATACGCGGCATCTGGAAGCCGGATACGCCGAAGTGCATGTCGGCCCCGTGCCTGGTGCCTGCAGTGGAGCATGGCAAGTACTACAAAGTGGAGCCGCACACCAAGCAGCTGAGCGATAAGCCCTCGCTGACGCCGCTCTCCACCTACGAGGAGATCCAGTCCAATGAGTTCATAACTCTCGAGTGCGAGGAGGGATTCAACATTCAGGTTAGTTCATGGTCTTCCCACAAGCTGCCCTTATGCCACCGCTGTCTTTCAGGGATCCGCCCAGCTGCGTTGCGCCCATGGCTCCTGGTCGGTCAACGCCTTCTCCGAATGCACCTCGCTGCCGTGCACGCTGCCCAACATACCGGGCGTCATCTACGAGGCAAGTTGGCCAATCTTCCAACCTTCCAATCCTTACTGACATTTCTGCACAGGGCGGTTATCGTGCTGGCCTCACCATTGGCCATGGCAGCACGGTCAGCGTTCGCTGTGAGCTGTCCACCAATGCCAATCCCATCGAGATGTCTTGTCTGAAGGGCGTCCTAACCCCTCCTAGTATACCCTGCGAGTCGGGCTTGCGCAAATCTCGGGAGGAGCTGGAGCGTGCCACGCCCACTTCCACAGCACACACGAAAATCGAGCACGAGCTGGACGAGCTGCAACATCTGCACGACAACAACACGGAGGACCACGGCGATGAGCTGAAAATGTGCGGCCATCCCAGCCTGACGGACGGCGCCCTGGTTTACAAGTGAGTCGCAATGGCGCCGGCTACGGTCGCAACGTAAGTAAACACTTTCCAACAATCTGCTCCAGAAACGCCGACCATGCGGAGATTGAGGGCGCCTACGAAAGCGGCACAGAGATATTCTTCAATTGCATACCCAACGCAGCAGGCGATCGTCAGACCTGGCGCATCATATGCGACAACGGGCAGTGGGTGGGACGCTCCTACAATTGCGGTAGGTTCTATTTATCTAGGATCCATGAGCTGCACAATTTTCAAATATCCATTATACAGAAAACGGCACGTGCTTATTCAAAAACAACGAAGCAAATGTGGTCAGCTTTTACAATGATCTGGAAATTAGAGAGGACGTCGTGGAGTTTCCTCCAGGTGCTACTATTATATCCAGGTGCGTCCCATTGTCCCAGCTGGACGCAGCTAACACTGTGCAATTCATTTTCCAGATGCGTTGACATTGGCAAGTTCTCGATGACTGGCAGCCACGAGCGGACCTGCATACACTCGGAGTGGACCAACACGAAGCCCGTCTGCTCAGGTCTTAATCAGGAAAATGATTATGCGAGTATGTAGAATTTTTAGCAAATTTTTGTTGCCGATCATAAAGCTTACTCCGAACGCAGTGGAGAAGGCGCCCACCATACTGTTCCGGCATCAGAACGGACCCATCGCCCAGAGCAATGATGGCAAGCTCATTGTGTATCCGGGCACCACGCTGCACATGGAATGCCTGTGGATGCGTCGCTTCGGTAATCCCAAGTGGAATGTCAGTCATGTCTACAAGTGGGTATCAGCCGGATTTGCGCCAAGAGTCGTTTAATTTAACACGCTATTTCAGAAACTATACCGAGGGCTGGGTAACGGAGGCGGATGAGGGACGAGATTCAACGCTGGAATATCGTCTGAGCATATTCGATGCGGTGGCCGAGGACTCCGGCACCTACTCCTGCATGACACCCGCCCGACATGAGCATGCCGTTGAGGTGGTCGTTAAGGAAATCAATTGCCCAGAGATACCCATAAGGCGTGGCTTGATAGTCAATACGAACGATACGAAACTGAGCACACGCGTGCTGTTGTCCTGTTCGAATGGCAACTCGTTGATTGGCGCATCGGAGCTGTTTTGTTTACCCAGTGGCAATTGGAGCGCGCTGTTGCCGGTTTGCGAGAGCGTGGAGTGCGGCGATATACCGCTGATGCCGAATAATGTTAGCTCGCCGCGCGTTTCCGTGCTGTCGCGTGAGGTGGGCGGACGAGCGGCATTCTCCTGCTCCACGGGTTACGGATTGCGCGGCCCATCTGAGGCCATCTGTTTGCCTACGGGCGAATGGGCGACACCGTTTCCAACATGTGTCGAAGTGCAATGCGATAATCCTGGTGCGCCGCAAAACGGTTACGCCCAGGGCTCGGCACCATATCGTGCCGGCGACGTGGTCCAATTCAATTGCAACCCGGAGTATATGATGCAAGGTCAGCCAATAATTGCCTGTCAGGATAACGGACGCTGGTCGGGCGGTTTGCCCAAATGTGTGCAGGCCTGTTCGTATCCAGGCACCGCGATCAGCGGACGCATGTCCTCGGTCAAGTTCTACTATGCCATCGGCGAGAGCATTACCTTCACCTGCGACGCCGGTCTCGAACTGCGCGGCTCGAAGGTACTCAAGTGCATGAAGAATGGCAAATGGTCTAGCGCTATACCGACTTGTGTGGCAAATGATGCGCCCGCCGGCGCCGTCGGTACCAATAAACATTTGGCAACCATGGGTTAAGCGATATTTGAATTGAGTTTAAAATCAAAGTGATACTAATACATATGTACTTACTAATGCACATTCAAGAAACAGACACGAGTATACTAATTGTGACATACTTGCAATTTAACATGCAATATATAATTGTCTTACGTCGTCATTTTACTATCAATAAATGTTCAGTCAAATATAAAATTAAAAACAAACCAAGCCCAGTTGGCGCCAAAAATGTGCTTGTTGCCTATCGATATTCGATAAATGCTTGGTTCACAGTTCATGTGATCAAAACATCGTGATGAACGATTTTTAGTTCAGTTAATTTGACATTGACATTAACATTAACATTAACAGTGTTATGCGTTAAAAGTTTTTTAAAACCAAGTATATTTTATTTTTTAATATTGTGAATTATTCGGTATACTAACAACTTTAAAACTCTATTTATGAATGGATTTAGTTTTATAAAAGTTGCATTCGACTATCAACATTTTGTGGTTCATGTATTCTACGAAAATTACAATTATTATATACAAAACAGATTTTTGTATTAATTATATTAAATAATAAATCCATTTGTATTAATAAAAATCTGTCTGAGTGACTGCTTAAAAATTAAAATGTTGCACCTAGTTTTATTTTTAAATTTGTTTTTATTCAACTAATTGAATGCAAGCATCTTTTCGTTCAACATTTTGCTATTTAGCATCGGTTCAGGGTAACTAGTTCGTTCACTAACGGAACTGCGCTCTGCTAAGAAACGCGAGCGGACGTGCGTTCATTTGTTTTTCCACGTCCGAGAGTGTGGCACGTCGTGTGGGTGGTGTGCGCGTGAACGACGACGGGAACCTTTCGTTTTTCGCGTTTTGTTTTTGTATATATTTCAAACAAAATACGTCTATAATTGTGTACATAGTGTAGTTAATTTACATAAAATAATTAATTTCAAAAATCGCAACAAAACTGACCCGATGTCATGTAACAGCCGAAATCCAATAAAAACACAAACAACTTATTCATTATAAAACGTGCAAAAAACGTGCGTTAGTGTGTGTGTGTGTGTACATGTGAAGGTGTATGAGCAAGTGTCTTTTTGTATGTGACCCGCCTGCTCAGGACGAATTTATATAGCTAAACAATTAAATTTAAGGTAAGTTAAAGCAGAGATTGAAATGAAAGAAGAACAGCTGACGCATACACACATGCAACAACAAGCACAATAACCTGCGATGACAGGCAGCAGCAGCAGCAGCTGCAAATAAAAAAAAAAAAAAACATTACCTTGCCTGAGCCCCAACCCCTTACACAGGCCCCGGCCCCTTTTGGCAGCAGCAGCCAGCGATTCAAGGGCGATGAACTACAACAACAAATATATATTAAGAAGCAGAACAAAAAGCAAACTCACAAGAGTATGACAAAAGCTTCTGAGTTCGTTTTGTAATTTGCTTTGAATTTGCGCTGTTGTTTTTGCTGCATTTGCTTTGCACTATTTTTGAATTTGTGGGCGTTAAACGACGTGATAACAACGGTACCGATACCGTGTTAATAACGCAAAGAAAATAGTATGATAGCCATACCCTCCTTGATGCTGTTGTTTTTGCTGTAGTTGTTGTTATTGTCAATGTCAGCCAGCCACCACTCATACCGTTTTTCTGCCGCTGCTCTTACTACTCTGTTAATGCATGTCTCAAGCACGCAGGCCCCGACACGCGCGCAACAGTAGCGTTCGCGTTGGTGTTGTCGTTGACGTCGACGTCGACGCGTCGTCATTGGCATAAACAGCATAAATGTCAGTGTGTTAGTAGGGGCCGCTATGCCTTTTGTTGTTTCTTTTGGTGGTGTTGTTGTTTGTACGCCTGCTACATATATGTGTGTGTGTGTGTGTGTGTGTGTATGTATTCACGTACAGAAATACGTATCTCAATACATACATATACTTGTTTGCTCTTATTTCGTGCGCCTTAAAGTGAGTAGTGAGTAAATTGGGTCAATGTTGCCATCTGACCCTATGCCTTCCAACCCAATTTGTTGTTAGTGTCAGTCGCAGCAGACAGCAAAGGAGATGAAAATGAGCCATTCAGACGAAAGTCGGGAAGAATTTACTGTTTATTAATATTGCGTTGAATTGTTTTCGCCCTATGCAACATACAATGACGTTTATTTTATTGCCGCCCAGACTATATCTCAGTTATTTGTTAATAAACAATACAACTATGACGCATTGGCACGTACAAAAGTCATTAACATGTAGGCCATACTCTAATACATATATTTTTGCTAGTGCTGATTATTATTTACTTGGGGTGCGGTCAGGCCGGCCGAGCATTGCTTATGCAAACATCTGGAGCCCGGTAAATACGCATTGTTTGTTTGCTGCTTTGTTCAGATTGAAAATATTGCTTTCTTTAAAGATTTGAAGTAATAATTTAAAGTAAGCGCATAGAGATAACGCATTAAAAAAATCAAAAGATGCTATCGATAACATATTGATCACATAACCGTTACATGTGCTGTGGGTGAGTGAGTGAGGCAGTTAGAAATCATCAATCTCAGGGCACACTGACTGTATTTCTGCTTTTTAGTAAGCCACATCTTTTGTTCTTGTTCGTCTGCTTCTTCGGTTTCTGCTTTGTTTATTGTTCTGCATGCGGGCAGCTGGTCTGGTCTGGTGGGGCCATTGCACTGTTCAACAACCGTACGTAAACATAATTGTGTTTGACAGGCGTTGCTTTCTTTTGTTAATTGACTGCGCTGTTATCGATAAAAGCTGTAGCATGCAGTGCGCATTTCCTTTTCTCTCCCACGCACTTGTTTTTTTTTTTTGTATTTAATTTAACTTGACGTACAGAGTAGACAAAAGGCAATGCCGACTCATTGTCGTCGGCATGTCTGCGTCTTTGTCCGGCAACCGCGCTACCTGCACTTACCCTGAAACACAGCTAGACTCTTAGCTATCACTAATGACCTGTCTCAACATTATTAATCCCCCGAACGCCTTGATGCCTCTGTAAGCGGCATTTAATGAACATTCCTGGAATTTGTATGACAACTCAGTAACGGGAAGACAAATACTGTATCTACGTACACATATCGCAGCACCATAAATGTGGTTAACTTGTACTGCGTGCATCGGCAGGGTAGACAGCTGGTCAGCTTATCTGGTTTTCATTATTTTGACGCGTTCCGAATTGTTTGCAATGCTCTCTGTACTGACTCTGTGCCAGAAGTGCTGTCAATGAACACGTCACAAAATGTATAAACAATTTATAAGCGTATATGTGAGCTGGGCAACAATATATTAGCAAACAGATTTTTTATCAGCAATTAGCAACAAGTGATTGAAGCGTAACGCTTTCTCCCCTCTTCATTTCAACCGAAACGCAATATGCCGGAAACAATGGAATACAGCAAAATAAAAGCATTGCTCATTGCCAATTCTTTGGCCCAAGGTCAACTTTCTGGTAACGATGTGAAAGTTTCGAACTTGTCTCTAATTCTCGGCTGGTTAAATAATTCATAAATGTGCGCCCTCGATTTTGACGTGAGTCCACAGCACAGCTGTTTTATGTCTCACACGTTTCATGTATTACTACATGAAATACGGCCGGTTAGCGATTCGCTCAAATTACAAGGCGGACAACTAAAAGGCAGTGTGTACCTAATAAATATTTAAGTAACAGCTGTAAATGCAAAAGTAATATCGATTGCCGAAGGCCGAATCAGAAAATAATCGAAAATCAAAGACAGGCTTTGCTGTTACGTTTTCAGTCACAATAGTTGGTCATTGTAAATGATGTTGAACTCTACTTTTTGTTGCTATTAACTGTAAGTCTGTTAAATTGCTACTGTTTTTTTTTCTACAGTTATGTAGAACAACAATCGAATACAAATAAATTGAGCACAGATAAATGATCAGCATGGTGGTCACTGGGCGTGAAGCCTCCCATCGCAGGCACAATCGACAAACTGGCATAACAACAACGCAGTCCGTCTACACACACACACACACACACACACACACACATACACCTCGTGTTCGTTTCCATAGAATATACATATACGAATGTACATACAGACATACATACATACATATGAGCGTAATTGTTGCCAATACGTTTCAATTTGAAGCGCCAATTGAATTTAAATTTGTAACATTGTTTTGAGGCGAATTCTGTTTAATAAGTGCCCAGGAAACGACCTTCAATCTTGGGGGCAATAAACGCGCTGATTGCGTTGTTCTCAATTCCAAGCAAACGTTCCATTATACATACATACATACATATGTACATACTTAAATAATATAAAAATTCACAAAAAATAAACAAACAACGTTTTGCTCATATACATACATACATACATAAACAATAAGATAACTATTATCTAGACCCTACAACTATGACACAATTGTTGTTATCTTGGGATCGTGCAAACCGCTTGACCCTCATAGTATGCCATAAAAAAAAAAGTAATTAATAATATAGAGATTCTTGCCTTTCTGCTTTCATCTAGAGATCCTAGATTTGTACAGCGTATAAAAAGTGCCCACAACTATGAAATTTGCCTTGTTTGTTTTGTTTTTCATTCTCGAGAAATCGTATTTCTATCAACAATGACGTCATGATCCCCAGCTGAAAAAGCCTCATCATTAACGACAAATAACAACGCAAAAAAAAAAGAAATAACAAAATATTTACACACAAATAAATTTCTACAAATATACATACATACATACATATGTGCATATATAACAGAAGTGGAAAAAATTATGTTATACGCCTCTCGTATGATCCTCCACACAATTGAATGAATCATCCGCCCGATGAGGAAATGAACGAAATGAACCAAATTCTACGCTCTGCTCTTACTGCCAAAGGGTTGGGGTGGAGTGAAATGAAAGCAAGGCCTCGGATTGTGTAGACTTGCGACCCACATGCTAGTCCAATTGGATTTTGTTCCCGGCGTCAGATTCCCAATTCCGTCTGGGCTTGGATTATATTAATGACGGAACATGTTCTGCCATTTAGCGTGCAATTACTTTGACAACATGCTCGGCTCAGCTAGCCGCAAGTTTGTGCCAGGCTACAAATGCATATACATACATACATACATATATCAACTTGTATATAAATAATTCTGGGTCCCAAATATAGAAATCAATCATATAACATATGCTTTTGTGTGAAAGTTGGACGCGTGTTAAATTTTCGGGCGTGACACGAATTTTTTGACACTAAACCCAAATTCATGCGTGCATTTTTGTTGACACGAAAACTTGTGAAATATGTCAAATTTGGGATAAGATAATAATAAAGCTTATAAAATAATAAACAATAAAAAATATAAATATAAATATGAATATAAATACGAATATAAATATCGTGTGGAAAAAACCCGACACACGCCCATCTCTAATTTATGTGTATTTCATGTTTAAATACATACGTGTTCTCGTTTTGTAAATCTCCTGCCTTTCGCTCTATTCTTAGCATACCCTATACACAATAAATGCTATCTTATTCAACTTTATTCCCGCACAGTAAAAATTTTATATATTGTAACTATTTCATTTAGAACAAAAATTAAATGTTCAATTCATAAAAGAAATCGTTTTTCCTGCTCTCGAACAAAAACAATAACAACCCTACTATTTTTCCTGCTCACTCTAACTCTTCTTCTTACAGACCATGCATAAGGAAAAAGTTATAAGTACACAAAATGCAAATGCAAATAAAGCAAACAACAAAGAGCATAAGATAAATGGAGCGACAAAAGAAAAGAGTGATAAAACAGGTCAGTAATCATCTATGAAACATGTTCAACAAGCAATTCAAACAAAAATGATATAATAGACAATAGAATTTATAATATTTGATTGATTGAGAGCAATTTAATGGGCACATAACCTCAATCCATCACGTCAATAACTTGTCAACTATTGTTCTAAGACCCTTTTGGATTATAAACTATTTGTTCAATGAGTGATACATTTCTAGAGTGATATATTGCAATCTATGACGCATTAGGCATACATATATAAATATTAGATTTGAGCCCAAATAGGCCGCATTTAGTGCAACTCTGGGGTACAGTCCCGCCTGTGCTTGACTAATTAGTCAAAAAGTAGCTCGATTAGGTAAACCCCACGGAGCTGTACCCCCGGATCTACGCCATGATCGCCTGATGTCTGATACGGATTACGAACCATCCGCCGCGATCGATCCACATCGACTGTTCCCATTTAGATTGTCCGTATCTGAGTTAATAATTTGCCGGACTCTCTGACAACCCAAATCGCTACACAAATAACGCATTGTATCATATATCGTTGACCCATTCATTGGTAGTTGTGGCACGTTTCGCCGGCTCCGGCCATATAATTGTGTCGCTATCAGCTAGCTATTCGCAGTGGCATTCGCGTCCAGACACCAAACGGAGCACTGCCTGGCCAAAGTGTGAAAGTGTTCGGTTAGAGATAAGATACGCCTGATTTTGGTTTTAAATATAAAGACCCAAAACGCCGGACACTTGAAAGATGTTTGCAATAGGCTTATAATATTTTTTTGGTATGACACGAAGGGTTTTCTGTATCTCACGATATTGTCTCAAAATATGATTGAGTATATTTTTTGAAAATTATACAAGAAAAACCCCAAATGTGGTAGGCATAAAGATTTTTTGACTCCCGATCTAGACAAAAGCACAAAAGAACTTTATACTTTTTTTCCGCAAGTACGCGAAATATTCCTTATATGTGTATTATATATGATAGGTCTTCATTTTTTTAGTATTTCTTACAAAATCAAGCTTTAAAAACGAATTTTAGCAACCAAAAATTAAGTAACTTATTTTGATTTGTGGTAAATAAATATGTTATATTTATAATTTCAAAACTTTAGTTCTTTTGGTTTTCGAGACCGTCCTGCTCAATAATATGTACATTTACACAAAACTAAATTACCCGATTGAATGGGTACAGGGTATTAAAGTATATGGAAGAGTCTGTCAAAAAAAACTCACAATTTATTCCCTAAACTAATCAAAGTTTTTTTTTTTTTGGAATGTCTCTGGCAAGGCATCTTCCAAGTCAGACATTTCCCAGTAGAGCACTGTCATGAGATAAGAATTATTCCCAGGAATGAAAAAGATTTCCGTTTATCGTAATATCTTAACCAAACTCTGCTATTGAAGGCGTGACTATGCTTTCAACAATGAAAGAAAACCCTTGTTATTCCGAAAAACTAATTGTTAAATTTGTCGCAATTGTAATTCTTGCATGAAAACTCTTTGTATGGCTAAGTATAAAAACATATCGTGAGCTATTTAAATATTGGGACCCTGATTACAACCTGAAAAAGAGAAAAAAACGGAGAAGCAATTTTTGCACTCATTCGATATTTATTACCTAATCTGAATTTTATTTAATCACCAGATGTCCCACTAAAAAACTTTTTGTACTCTTAAGTAATTCGAAAAAAAGCTACCTGTTGGTTCTGCCCTGATTTGTGATTTATATATATAAAATAAGCCGAAGGCATAAACAACTTTATAATGCTTAAATATATATTTAATCGGTAGCCGGTTCAAACCATGTCCGTCGAGCTATATAAAAGCGTCGATCTCAGAACTCGAGATCGAGGATAAAGTTTATTTGATTATTTCGTTAATTCCCTGAGTTTGCTCTTAAATTTTCAAAAAGATCGGAGCATAAGCAACAGAGTAAATTAGGAAAGTGTGGAGCTTAGGGAAGAAGCGTGGGTCTACTTTTTTTTCTGTCTAAATATCTTTTCTCACTTGTCGCAATACTTTCTCTCGTTCCATATATTTGTAAACCTCAGTTAGCCTGCTGAGCAAGAAGGATGACAGCGGCGAATATGACCTGGTGCCGCCCGATGGAGGCTGGGGCTGGTTAGTTCTCTTTGGCGCCTGCCTGACGAACATACTCATACCCGGCACCATTAAGAGTTTCGGTGTACTCTTCATCGAGTTCTTGCAGGCGTTCGAAACATCACAAACGCAGGCCTCCTGGATACCGGCATTATGCTACTTCCTTTACAGTTCACTAGGTACGTGTGGATTTAATGTGTTTGTCAATCTTCCGATTGTTTAATACGTCTCTGTGCTTTTCCAGGTCCTATTTCGAGTATTCTCTCAGTCAAATATTCCTATCGCACGGTGACTATGATTGGTGCCCTCTCCGCATCTCTGGGCATGATACTTTCCTATTGGGCATCATCCGTTGGCTATTTGTACATCAGGTAAAGTTCAGATAAAGTTCAGTCCATAATTGTTTTTATCACACTCGCCGTTCCAGCTATGGCGTCCTCGTGGGCATTGGCGCTGGCCTCTCCTTTCCGCCCACTGTGTACATTGTTACATCGTACTTCGTTAAACTGCGCGGACTGGCCAACGGCCTCTGCATCTCGGGCAGTGCCATTGGATCAATTATATTGCCGCCCGTGCTGCGTTGGCTGCTGGAGACTTATGGCTATCGCGGCTCCTGTTTGATCATGGGTGGCGTCACGCTGAACGTATTGGTCGGTGCCCTGTTCTATGAGCCTGTGGAGCAGCATATGGTGCGTGTGCCGCGCGCTCGTCAGGCGCTGGACGATATACCCGAAGAGGAGGACGTTGGCATTGTGATGAAGTTCGAGAATGTGGACGAGACGACGGCGCCCAATCAGGAGCCGATGGCAGAAAAGCAGCTGTTGCCCTACAACTCGCCGCCATCGCCGCTCTATCTGCCGGACGATGATGACGACAAGCAGCAGTTCGTGCGCAGCGCCTCAGCCGCTGTGGTCCAGAGCTATGCCAAGACCGGTGATGAATTCCACCCACGGGCCAGAAAGATCAGCACGCCAGTGCGACTGCCGCAACGCAATCAGACATTCACGCCCGGCCAACTGAACTCACAGTCATCTCTGTATGCCGTGCCCGAGGGTCGTTCCAGTTCGAACAAGCTGGCCATGAGGAACAGCTCGCGTAATCGTCTGTCCAAGCGATCGCCGTCCACTAGCAGCTTTCTGTATATAAGCACGCCATATCATGGCAGCACGCTGTCCTTTCAGCCCAAGGAGTTCTCATCGCATTTATCGCTGCGTTCCGCTGGCAGCGGTGCTGTCACAGGCGAGTCGACACCCCAGGATGCCGGCGCTACTAATGAGACGGAAGGCAAAACGCAGCAGAGCCAGCGCAGCAAATTTTTCGATCTAAGTCTGTTGAAGGATCCAATGTATCTGGTCATACTCATCTCGAACTCGACGAACGCCATCAGCTACACGAATTTCATTATCCTTCTGCCGGCCTTTGGCCTGGCTAGACAATTTGACAAGTCCCTATCTGCGTATCTGCTGTCGGTGGTGTCAACAACGGATCTGATCGGCCGTATTGGCGGCTCAGCGCTCTCCGACATGGGCTTCATACCCAAGACGTGGTACTTTGTGGGCGGCTTGTCGGTTTCGGGCATTTCGCTGGCGCTGCTGCCATTCGCCTACAGCTACGGTGGCGTGTGCTTCTGGTGTGCGCTCTTTGGACTCGCATCGGGCATTTATGTGGGCATCACAGCTGTCATTATGGCCGATATGCTGGGAACGGAACGCCTGACTTCGTCCTATGGCATCAGCCTGTTTGTCAATGGTATTCTACAGCTGGTGGGACCACCGCTGTGCAATTACTGGACCGAGGCGGTCCAGGACTATAATCCGCTCTTCCACGCGCTCGGCCTGACACTGCTCGCCGGCTCGGCCTTGTGGGCCTTTATGCCTTGGATACAGCGCCGCAAAGCCAAAGAGGAGGAGAAGCTGGAAGCCCAACTCGACGAGGAAGCCGTCGATGGCTACTAAGCCGGCTTTCACACCACGTACAATTACAATTAGTTGTTAGGCTTTAAATGCGTACAAAGAGAAGAGAAGAGAAGAGTAGTAGCAAATAGAAAGTAAAAGAATTGCAGTAGGATGGGGGAATCTATCAGAGGAGTTGATGGAGTGAACGGATTATATGTTGGAGGACGTCAAATGGCATTGGAAATTTTGGAAATTGTTAATTTGTTTCTTCCATTAGCTTTTTTGTCTAACTGTTAAGTCTTAATTATTACATTGTATAATTATTACAATTATTGTTTACTTAAAATCAATTCATAGCCTAAGCAAATAACAAATGAAAATTGTCTAGCAATGAAAACTTAAGAAATGAAAATATTTTTTCTATAAATATGCTAAAGAAAAAAAAAACTCAAAAAAATCAGTAAAACCAACTGAAATATAAAAAAAAAAAAAAAACACCAAATCTCTTTTATTTAAGGCTTGCAAGTATACCCCGACCTTGTCTGTGGTACGTATAAAATAAATTCTCTCAAAAATCTTCGAAAATGAGTTTGAAACCGATCGGACGATGTTGCGGACGAAATTTCCCAAGTCGCTGAAAAACGTATTCATTAAATTCTTTAAATATCAGTTAGAAGCAAATCGGACCAAATCTTAAAACAAGATTAATGTTTTCAGATATAGATGCCAAATTGATCTAGAGCCCAAGCCATGAACAAAGAGTCAAATCTCATGAAAATCGGATGAGTTAAGGGGGTGGAAAATTTTGATCTTTATCTACATAGGATATTTGATGGTACCATTTTCACATGGAATTTTGAGAGAGCGAAAAGCCAGTCGGCTGGCGTTTTGTATGAAGAGCGAAAAGCCAGGCTGTGCTATCTACACATATTTCGATGCCGTATTGAGCATGCGGCGGCTCGACGCTGGCAGTCCCGTCTAGACCATTCTCACTTTGTTGAATTACATATTTATGTAAATTAAATTAAATTTCTCATGTGAAAGGCAATGTCTAGAAATTAAAGTTATATGCCCGTTAATAAACAACATGTATGGCCGAGATTCTAAAGAAAAGTGTTTTTCCTGGCTATCAGAAAATTGACAAGGATTTACATACATTGCGATAACTAAAACAAAACTTGTAGTTGTACAAATGGACATTACCGGCAAGAGTATTAAATATGGGTAATACATGTGTAGATGCGAAAATGTGAATATTTAATGCATTTTAAGTGAAACACGTTGTAAAATTTATATTTGATTATAGTCCAAATAACTTTCGAATCTTTTTGTAAATACATTGTATTGGCATGCACAGCTAAGCTTTAAAACTATAAGTTTCTGTGTGTTATATGCGATTATAGTGATATATAATATAGATATGCTGTTTGGTTTGGCACTAAGTGCTTTTGGGTTTTGCTTTCAAGAATCCCTTGGAGCGCAAAAAGCGCACAATGAATGGTGTGGCGCCCAGCGTGATGCTTATCCGAAGTGGAGCGAACACTTTGTGGACAGCGTACGCCGTCACAAAGGTGCTGCCCACAGCTATTTTTTCCGCAATTACAGAGGACTCAATTCCAAGGAATTCTAGAACCGGCATCATATTTATTCCGCTGGAAAATTAGAAGAAAATATGGGCATCTAATTAGTTGGGCAAGTTAACAATAATGATGAGATGCTTTCGATATTTGTGCTGTGAGCGGTTACGTGTGGATGAGCGCATTTGATTAGTTGTCCTACCTGGAGACGAGCACGTAGAAGCCACCCAGGGATAGCAACGAGATACCCACGTGAAATGCCACAATGGTTGCGCCGTACTCCTTAAAGGCTCTTTTCAATTGCTCCTTCTTGCTCAAGCTCTCTGGCTGTAGTTCGGCGTCTACAGTTGACTTTGCCGGTTCGGGTGCCGCTGGTGGCACCAAGGGTGGCTCCGGTGATGGTTTTGCTTGTGTGCTGTAGCATCGCCGGAAGCCTACGGAATTCGAGCAATGCATATGATATGACATGCGTATGCGTGTTAGCTAGAGCGCATGCGCCCTACATGCAACAGGTTTGGTTCGATTACCAAGTGCAACAAGTGCCAGCATAAGTCAGCAGATGCCTTTTCTCACCTTGGCTGTTGCCGGCGACCGTGGCATTTTGATCGTAGGTCACCCAATCAGCCCGTGTGCTGTCGCGCAGTGCCCGATAATGCGAGCTGTGCAAATTCTGCGAAGTGAACTTGTACTCCTGAGACCATTGTCCCCCGGGCATGTTCAGATGCGAGAACTTGTGCATGCCACCAAATGGAGTCGGCACGTTGCTCTGCATGACACCATTTAGGCTAACGGCTCCAAAGCAATCATAGGATTGAATATGTGGATCCTGCACAAACGAAGCCTCCTGCGACACACTCAAGCTATTATCAGTGGTTATATCGATCATGGAGATGGGTGCATGGGACATGACCATAATATTGTCCGAAATGTCCCTCGAGCGTTGCGGCGAAAAGCGTGTTGTCTCCGCTGCGTCTACATTATTTGGCAGCGGCAGTGCGGGGGCTGGTGCCGCGCAGTTCAGCGCCTTTGCACTTGTGTGAAAGGGTTGGACAGCTAGATGAAAGAAAGCATATTATTTATACATATGTATATAATACACAATATGCAAAAGTATTGCGCAGTTTGGCCAGGGTGCAAAATCCAACCGAGCCATGTATATACATTGCGAGTTAATTGAATTAAATCTACTTTGGCAAATGCTTGCCTATTATCTGCAGACCAATCGCCACAGTGAACTTGCCCCGCAAAACAAATTTAATCAATTTAAACTCGTTGACCTCCAAGAATATACATTTTTGAGTGAGCTTACCTGTGTACTTTTTAAGGTACAGAATGCCGCCTGGTAGACGTGAGGCACTTAGCAAATATGCTTTGCTGGTATTAATAATCATAGTTAAAATATAATTTTCACTTTGGATTGAACAGAACTAAACGACAACTTCACCGCGACTAAGCAAAATACAATAAACAGCTGCACGATAGTTTAACACTGTGAGCACACAAACAGCTGCCGATAGTAACAGGGTTGCTGAAGATCTGTCACATCGCATGCAAACTATCGTCATAGATATCGATAGGCATTACGAATAGCGATGGTGTGATATCGTGAATACAACCCTATTCAGTCTTTTGGGAGTGAAAATGCGAATTTATTTACAAAATTTGCCAATACGAGAAAAAGAAGGCGACGCGTAATAAAGAAATTCATCACTTTGTCATCGACGCGAATACCAGATGTTGTAGTGCCAGCGGAGTGCAAAAGTGTGTGTGTGCAATGCCCGCGGAGAGAAAGACACAGAGGAAGAGCGCGGCGCTGATGTTGTGGTCAAGATATGATTTGGCTGCAACTACGACGTCCAAACATCGACCAAAACAATAAACCCCGCGACCAGGCTAATTTTAGCGTGCGTGCAACAAAAACAATAACACTACCATACAAGCGCGAGGCAATCAACAAACACACCAACAATAATATCAACAACTGAAACGTACAGCGCGCGCGTCTGTGTGCGTGCTGTGTGTGTGTTAGTGCGTGAGCGTGTGTGCCTGTGTGTGTGCCTGTGTAGAAAGTGCGCACGTCAGGCGTTGGCTGTCGTCGCAGCACTTGCAACCATGTCCAGAATAACGTTGACCACGTTAACACATAACAGCAGCAGCGGCGGCGTCGGCGGCGGCATTACAAGCAGCAGCAACAACAACAGCAACAACGATACACGCACCGGGACGCTGACGCACCTTATGGAGGAGCACCAGCAGACGGTTAGCGGTAGAAGCGGGACATCTGCTGGCCCCGGCGGACTGATATCGGATGGGGCGGAACGGCTGCGACGTCAGGGCAGCCGACTGCAAACATCTCGATTCGCCTGTATGCGTTGCTGCGGAAACTTTCTCACCTATCTGGTGCGGCTGCGCAGCACGCCCGAAGAGCTCGAGCAACGCTACAAATCCAAAGAGATTGATCGGTTTTTGGAGAAAGAGAAGCACACGTTTCGGCGGCAGGTAAGAAACTTTTTTCGAACTATAACGCTGCTACAATCCGTTTAATTAAGTAATTAGTATTAATTTGCTTGGACCGGACCCACACACACAAATACACACACACACACACACACACACACCATTCATCCGGTTGTGTCGCCCGCATGGGCCGCCCAGGCAAACAAATGAAACGCCAGACGAATTTTCACTTTTCGTTGCTGGTGCTGTTGTTGTTGTTGTTGTTATTGGGCTTGGCTCTGGGTTTTTATTGTTGCATCATTTAAGCAATCATTACAAAAAGTCTTATTCACACAAAAGGCATTCAATTAACAACTTCTTTGTGCTGCCGCTGCTGACTCTTGTTGCTTGTGCGTGTTGTTTTATCGGTCAAGGTTTCAATTTCGCACGTACCTTTGTATTAGAGTGTGCAATCAGATAAATCGTTTGACTAACCGTGACTCAAACCTATCTAGGTAAAGCTGCTGCTCCTGGGCGCTGGCGAGTCAGGCAAATCCACCTTCCTCAAACAGATGCGCATCATACACGGCGTCAACTTTGAACCTGAGCTACTGTGCGAGTACCAACATGTGATATACCAAAATGTTATACGAGGTATGTGCTGGCATAATTCTTGTTTAATTTGCATCAATTTTAAATGAATCCATTTCTCATGCAGGTATGCAAGTCCTTCTCGATGCGCGCGAAAAGCTGGACATATCTTGGGGCAATGATGGACGCGAACAGGATGCCCACGACGCCAAATCAATGGAATGCAATGCAATAGAGGCAGCCAGATTCGTGGAATATGCGCCGCTCATAAGGCGCCTATGGCAGGATCGTGGCATAAGGCGCGCCTACGAGCGACGACGCGAGTTCCAAATTGTAAGCGGTCCAATAAACCCATAATTAGCTTAGTTTCATTAGCAATGAACCCGATGTGCCCACTAGAAATGGGTAAGAAAGGGTGGTATGAAGTCGTGCAAATGTCCTTAGTAGACCGGAGGAGTATAAACACTCTTGATCAGCGCAATAACTGCCTAGTTGATGTAGATGTGGCGTCTTTCCGCCTCTTTGATCTTAGACTATTAAATATTGAAACAGAAATTTAAAAGATCTCATATACTTCCCGTAAATAAAGGGTGTCGGCTTGGATATTTTTGGTTACACTTTGGTAACTTTAATCAAAGTTCATTTAAAGTCATTTAAAATCATTCTTTAAGCGTTGCCCCTTATAAACAACAACTCGGTCAGCTATTTTGTATAAAAAGAAATATGTATAAAAAGCATTACATTATATATGAGTGCACATTGAATTCTTTCGATTATTTAAACAATATGTGCATTCATTGTTAAAGCTTATGGCCTCAGTTAATCAAACGTTTATTGACACAGAAAACAAACATTGTTCTTGTTAACTTTATACCTCGCAGAGCGATTCGGTCAGCTATTTTCTAGACGAAATCGAGCGGCTAGCGAAACCGGATTATGTGCCCACCCACAAAGATATACTGCACTGTCGCAAAGCAACCAAAGGTGTTTACGAGTTTTGTGTCAAAGTACAGGTAAGCTGCAAAGAGAATGCTCTTGTCTCATCGATTTTGTATTAACAACTACATTTTTATTACAGAACATTCCATTTGTGTTTGTCGATGTGGGCGGTCAGCGCACACAGCGTCAAAAGTGGACGAGATGCTTTGATACCTCTGTCACTTCTATTATATTCCTAGTGTCCAGTTCGGAATTCGATCAGGTGCTTGCCGAAGACAGGTGAGTTCTGAAATGAGATAAACAATAAAGAGTGGCAGGTTTAACGTGTACTTTAATTTTTTTTTAGGAAAACCAATCGTTTGGAAGAATCAAAGAATATTTTCGATACGATCGTGAACAACAACACGTTCAAAGGCATTTCAATAATATTGTTTCTAAACAAAACTGATTTGCTTGAGCAAAAAGTACGCAATCCAGAGACTGATATACGCTGGTACTATCCACAGTTCAATGGCAATCCGCACTCGCTTCTGGACGTCCAGAACTTTATGCTGCAAATGTTTATGAGTGTGCGCCGTAGCAGCAGCACCAGCAGAATCTATCATCATTTTACCACTGCCATAGACACACGCAACATCAATGTAGTGTTTAATTCGGTGAAGGACACGATACTGCAGCGCAATCTGAACGCTCTAATGCTGCAGTAAGAACACTCGGCCACGCGGCCATCCAGATCACAATCACGAATCTCACGCCAGCTCTGACAACACCGTCTACCATTTATCAAATCATATAAATATTTATGTATTTAAATATATATACCATATACAGAAAACGAAAGTGCCAGGCTGTCAGGAATGTACAATTTTGTGAAGGGCCGACCCAAATTGTTGTTTACTTTTTAAAATGGTTTAATTATTCATAAATTTTGTATTAAATGAAATTATTATACTAATTTTTAGCATTTACATGTATTATGTATTTTATTTATGCATAAATGTATATAATTTATTGTGTATGTGTTTATTTGTGGCCTGCTAACAGACTCTAATGCTAGCTGAAAACTAACCTGGAAACTGCAGCTACAGTTTTACAAATAATTATGCTATTATTATTACAATTATATAAAAATTTTTTTTTTTGATAATTCTGTATAACTTTGCCTATTTGTTCCGATGACATTATACAAGTAAATTTACCATATATAGCCAATACATGCACATACATATCTATATTTATATATATATATATACCTTTATATTTTTAGAGTTGAATGTCGAATATACACATATACAAATTGTATGTTAGTTTATACAAAAGAGAGAGCTTAAACTAAGCATGAACTTTTCTCCTAGAGAAAAGTCAGCGAACGACAAATGTACCAATTAAAAAAATATATAAATATTTAATAAATGAGAAAACAATTATATATTCAAAGATTACACAGTGTGTGTTGTTTATTTCATGCAGAATGAAAACAGAATAAATAAAAATATACATTCCCTGTATATCCCCAACCGCTCTTGTTATTCATAATTAAAATGCACAATTAAAACTGCATTATGGTTTATTTAATTACAAATAGGCTTATTCCTTTTGACGTTTTCGGTATTTATTTCATATAGAACTACGTTAATATTTGGAATGTCATAAAATCGTCTTATACACTATTACAAGTACGCGTGTAAATCATTTAAATTGCATACACTTAAATTATTGATAAAAAAAAGAGTGTAACAAATACGCATTTGCATAAACATATAAAAAATATTGTAAATACACCAGTAATACTCTAGATAAATAAAAACAAAATGTGCATTGCATTGTTGATATTATCAATAGACATTAAATTAAAGCACAAACTGTGATGCATGCGATCCAGACTCAGACCCAGATCGATTATAACAAATAATATAATACTAAAAGAGAAAATCAGGCTTACTAAGACTACACATCCAAAGGAGTTTAACACAAATATTTAGCATCCATAGTCATTGAGTTGATTTCTAGCTGATAGCTGCCGCCTGTCTTTGCTGTTGTCCCTGCTCAGCCGCCTTGACTAGAGTTGTTGCCGGTTCCAGAGCTGTTAAGGCCTCCACAGCAGTTGCTCTGCGCCGCCTTGGCACTCAAGTTACCCAGTCCAATGGAGCCCCCGCCATCGGCCTGACGCTGTGCAGCCGCAGCAGCAGCACTGTTGCCGTCCTTGCTGCGAGCTTGACCGATAAGTTCGGCGGCGATTTCATAGAACAGACGCTCAACGTTTTCCGCCTCTTTGGCGGATGTTTCCAGGAAGTACATATCATGTTGTTTGGCAAACTCCTCGCCTATTTGGGTGGGAATTTCGCGATCGTCGCGATCTGTCTTGTTGCCCACCAGTATTTTTAGCACCTTTGAGTTTGCATATTCTTGTATCTCTCTCAGCCAGTCCGGCAAACAGTCAAATGTGGGCTGGCAGCTAATGTCATAGACAAGTATCAGCGCGTGCGCCGATCTGTAGTAACTTTGTGTGATGGAACGAAAACGCTCCTGTCCGGCCGTATCCCAAATTTGTAGCTTGATCTTTTCACCCTCGACCTCAACGGTTTTAATCATAAAATCTACGCCAATGGTAGCACCCTGGCCGGGCGGAAAAAGACCCTGAGTAAACCGTCGAACCAGGCATGTCTTTCCAACGCCTGCATTGCCGACTAGCACAATTTTGAATAGGAATTTGTAGTCCTCCATTTGAAGTCGAATTCAGATTGTGATGCGTGCGCTGAAATTGAAAGACATACAAAATATTAGTATACATAGTTTCCTCTATTATTTAGACACACCTAGTCAGCGACGCGTAACGCGTTTGTAAAACTGAGCTAATATTGGGGGATGGTTTGGAGGTTTGGATTGGGTTGGAGTTTCACTCGCAGATGCAACTTACGCAACTGCCTCTCACCTGTAGCTTTATTGGTTGCGCTCCGCGCACGCAATCTACGTATACAGTCTAACGGTCGCCCTTGCCACCAAGGCTTCTACTGCTGCTTTTTGGCTAGTGTCAATAATTTGGACGCTGATGACTCAACAATTACCACTGCCAGCAGGGTAAGCTTTTGTAGATGTGGTTATTTGTACTGCGTTGCGCCATTCAATTAAGTTGGCACCTGCGGGATACAGATTATATTTGTTCAACACCCTCAATTCGAAAGGCGCTAAATGCTTGTAACGACATTAATTTTGCAAAGCTAAAAATTCGCTGCGTATATGTAAATATAAACAAATCGATTAATATGGTAGCGATATGGCAACGCCATTTAGCAGTAAGCCTGTAACAAAATTCGATAAGTTGTAATTGAAATTCTAAAGCAATCAATCATTCACGAATGAATGTGTATTATAATTATATTGTATTTAATATTTATTATTATTCATGGTAAATTTGTAATACATGTATCGGGTTGATTTTCAATATATTTATGCACAGAAGTATCGATAACGCTGTGGGTATCGATTCGTATTTATTATCAACCCTGTAGCAACACAACATAGCCAGCCACGCTGTAGAAAAAATATTAAGATTAAAGGAAAATTTGATTTAATCTACAAAATAACAAAAACGCAAGTTTGTAAGTGAGTCTTCGAGTTGCCCTGTGTAAACCATCAACAATTTTGGTTTTTTCAAACGTGCCAGACAACAACTTAGGGCGTTTTTCCCCGTCCCAAAAAATTCAACATGGCCGAAGACTTTGACGTTGAAGCAATGCTAGAAGCACCCTACCAAAAAAACGTAAGTAGACTAAGCGACTTTAATGTTAAACGCATCATATTAATTAAGAAACGGTTTGTACAAAATATTTAATACTTGCGAGAGTGGTATATCTTATGAATATTTGTATACTTTTCTAAATAGACACCATCAAGCGCGCCGTATGTGCACGCATTGTGTGCGTTCGCATTTATGTATATACATACATATGTATGTATGTATTTGAGTCGTCTGACACTCACACACGCAAAGTTTGCTTAACACCTTTGTGGGGATGTGCCTATGCTTTTACGTGTGATTATATATGTGTGTGTATGTATGGACATTGCATCGAAGTGGCAGTCGTAAATCGATTTATAACCTTAATTCCTGAAATGCAATCGAATATCGACAGGCGTACGGCACTGCATCGATTTGCTACAGTCGGCGTTATCGTCTCTCTGGCAACTTCTTATGTTTTATAGCCGGACTACCTTGACGCCCAATTAAACACCCACGTGCTACAGTGTATGTGTGTGTGTGCGTATGCCTTGTTTGCTTTGGTAGTCGCCTGCACGTTATATGGACGTTATATCGCAGTCGAATCCGACGTCACCTACAGTTTTGTGTGTGTGTGTGTGTGTGTGTGGGCTACGGAACTGTTATTATGCTGGTTCTTTATAGAGTCATTTTAATTTCTTATCTTTTAGTGTTTAAGGGTCGCGAATCACAGATATGGAACATTGAAAAGCTGTGTTATTTTGTAAAGGGAACACAAATGTTGAGAAACCAGATTAGGCTTTATCAGAAGTGTTAAATCCATATACTATATTTATGTTGTATATAGTGAATAGATATAGTGAATTTTACTTGATTTAGCTAAATTAACATTTTTTAATGGCAGTCGCCTTATCATATATTTTAAATATTTATTATAAAGAATATCCAAAATAAAATTGTGCATATAGACAAATATTATATATGTTAGCATCAGATTTCCAAGTAATTTCTCAATCTTTTGTGAGAACATTATTTCAATTAGGAATTATGTCTGAATTTATCATCTGAGTGGTTGCTCTACTTTCTGTCTATCTCTTAAAAAACATAAAAGCAATGTGCAATAAACAAAAAAAAAAAAAAAATATCACACTACCAAAAACGAAAATAATTAAAAACAAAAAGCGAGAATAATTCTTAAGGGTGAAATGTCTTTGCAGAAATCGTTTAAGCTCAATATTGTTGCTAGTGATTGTTTTGGTCATTCTAAACACAAAAAGCTGGAGACCATTTGGTAAGTTTTGAATGTGCCAGAAACTGCGAAAAAAAAAGAAAATAAAAACCAAAACATATCTAGGCATTTGTTTTCTGTATGATTTGTTTCTGTTCTTTTTTTTTTAAATGAATATGTTTTAAACTGCTAAAAATCAATGAAAACTGAACGTGCACTAAATTTCAGATAAACTCTACCTATTGTCTGGGGCAGCAGGCAGCACTACTACTACTCTCACTCACAGACAGACAAGAATGAAAGAATCACAAGTCCACTTCACTGCTCTTTCAGGAGTCGAGTCTGAAATGCCCAAAAATAAAAATAAATACAAAATCATATAAAAATCACTGAATATAAGAACAAAAAACAAAAAAAAACACCAATATCAAAAGCCTAAACGTAATAAGCAAACTTAAATTATTTCACTACACATATCTTTTAACTTATAACTCTATGTATATGTATGTCCATATATAGACGAGAGCGCCTGGGATGTGTTGGCCAGAGTCTTTAGTCAAATAAGAGCCAAGGCAACCAAGTCAACAAACCAACCCACAAACCAACCACTAGCCAGCGCTAATACCCAAATATCGAATCGAATCGAATTGCAAATATGTGTGGAGACATTTCGCCGAGGTCTACTTATCTGTGTGTGTTAATCTGCCTACCTATCAGTATATCAGATATATACGTGATATATAAATATATCATAGGTATATATATATCTATATATATATATCTATCTTCTACAATTGTGAAATCGAGCGCAAGCTGTCGTCTGTACCATATTTTATCTTTTATTAATCGCATATGTATTACTACTCTTACTACTGCTCTATTGCTCTAAATTGGCAATGATCTGTGAAGCGATCATTGTTGACTTAAGCATTTCTATTTTATGTACTTGCAGATACCAAAAAATTTAACTAATTTACTTTGATTTGCTTTCTCTTATTCAACTAAAAAAAAAAAAAAAATACGAAAAAAAAAACAAAAAAAACCTCAAAAAAATATAAAATGAATACAACAACCACAACCAACTACAACAACAACAACAACGTAACGTGCGATCAACAACGAACTAAACGTTATGTGTGTTTGTGTGAAATGTCCCCCACAAAACATGAACAAATGAAAATATCCAATTCTATGTATGTACATTATTGCTTGCGACTTCCAACTCCCATGTCCACCAAACCAACCAAATACCAAACCAAAACCCTATCTGTAGAACGTCAGTGCGGGCAGCGCTGGACGAGGACGCGGGCGCAGCAGCGGCAGCGACAGTGCCGGCCACGATGACAACGATGAGGATTACACTGAAAACGGACAGCGCTCCTCGAATGGCAACAAAAAGCGCAGCCATCGCTCGCGGTAAGTTTACACATCATTTGCCTACGAAACTGAACAGCCTCCATTAGTCATCTTTTTATGCATTGCAGTAGTCGTAGTGGCTCACGTCACAAGCGCTCCAAGGATCAGGAACGTGAAAAGGAGCGTGGCACTGAACGCAGCAGCTATCGTGACAAGGATAGAGACAGAGAGCGTGATCGTGAGCATCGGGATCATCGTTATCGCGATGTCGCCAAGCGCAGCAGTCGCACACGCGATGAGCGCCCCAGCGATGACAGACGTGGCGGCGGCAGTGGACGTAACGATCGTGATCGTCGCTCGCGCGATCGTCGAGGCGGCAGCAAAACCATGCAGCGCGATGCCGAGCGTAAGCGCAGTCGCTCTCGCGACAGGCGCCATCGCAGTCGCTCCCGTGATCAGCAACGCAAACGCATGAGTCCCATACGTGAACGTCGGCGAAGTCAGTCGCGCTCCAAAGACACAAAGTAGGTGGAGAGGTGCAAATTGTGTAAACAATTTGTATTGCACAGAATGCAAATTTTGTTATTTTGATATTTTTCTTATTTCTGTTGCAGTCGCCGTCGGACCAGCTACTCACCACGACCATACGGTGGACGCGGACGTGGTGGTGGCGGCAGGTCGCCACCGAATGGCGTCGGGGATCGCACACCACCCACCGAGCTCAGTCCTGAGGAGCGCGATGCACGCACCGTTTTCTGCATTCAGCTGTCGCAACGAGTGCGCGCACGCGACTTGGAGGAGTTCTTCTCCAGCGTCGGCAAGGTGCGCGATGTGCGGCTGATTACGTGCAACAAGACTAAACGCTTCAAAGGCATTGCGTACATTGAGTTCGAGGATCCCGAATCAGTGGCGCTAGCACTCGGATTGTCGGGCCAACGGCTGCTGGGCGTTCCCATAATGGTGCAGCACACGCAGGCCGAAAAAAATAGACTGCAAAGTGCTCCGCCACCGTTCCAGCCCAAAGCTCACACAGGACCCATGCGACTTTATGTTGGCTCGCTGCACTTCAACATCACCGAGGACATGTTGCGTGGTATATTCGAGCCATTTGGCAAAATTGATGTTATTCAGCTGATTATGGACACTGAGACGGGTCGTTCCAAAGGCTACGGCTTTATTACGGTACGAAAGACTTACCTTCCATGTTAGTTTTGTAATAGTGTAAATATATACATTTTTATTTTCCGTGCAGTATCACAACGCTGACGATGCCAAAAAGGCTTTGGAGCAACTGAACGGCTTTGAACTGGCGGGCCGTCCCATGAAAGTGGGCAATGTTACGGAGCGGCTAGACATGAATACTAGTTCACTGGACACTGATGAAATGGATCGCAGCGGCATAGATCTTGGCGCCACAGGACGACTTCAGCTCATGTTTAAGCTGGCAGAGGGCGCCGGTCTGGCCGTGCCACAGGCAGCGGCCAATGCGCTACTTGCCACAGCGCCGCAGCCAGCACCTTTGCAGCAGCAACAGCAGACGCCATCCATAGCTACACAGTGCTTTATACTGTCCAACATGTTTGATCCGCGCACCGAGACAAATCCCACATGGGACACTGATGTACGTGAAGATGTTCTAGACGAATGTGCCAAGCACGGTGGTGTGCTACATATACATGTGGACACGGTTTCGCCCACAGGCACCGTATATGTCAAGTGTCCGAGCACAACCACAGCGGTACTGGCCGTAAATGCGCTGCACGGACGCTGGTTTGCGGGGCGTGTAATTACCGCGGCGTACGTACCGGTAATTAACTATCACTCCATGTTCCCGGATGCTATCAGCGCAGTCGACTTGATTGCATCGACCCGCAAGAATGCTGACGATTGATGGGCCAGGCGATAGATTTGCAACTATATAATATATTGTTATTATTCGTTAAACAACAATTTTGTAATAATTTTAACATTTTTTTGAAAGACTCCGAATTTGGGTAATGGCCCTCAGTTAGCTAAAAAAAAAAAAAAACGAAAAAAAAATGGGCACATCAAATTACAATAACATAATTAAATATTTATATATTTAATGTGTGCAACATAAAATTAGGCATTCCTAACACGCCAAAAAATTGATTTGGATTTTAATTCTAAACTTTTTGCGACATCCCCTTTTCAATTTATATTTTACACCATTTCAAAGCATAATTTAGACAGCGCTACATAATGTGAAATGCTATGTAAACAACAAACAAAACAAATATTTTGTAGACAAAAATATAAAAAGAGAAATAAAAATTCGATTCGGTAGTTTTTGTGTGTTTAGCGCTATATGTCTTTGTTTAAAAAACTACGCCAATTCCACTCGCAAATGTGGAAAAATCGCGAATCTCATTTTCAGAGATCTTTGAATACATTTGATTCATTTCCATTTCTCTCAATTCATGCGAGATCTGTTTTGACACTTTTCGCGGAACCAAGCTTCCTCTGAAAACTTATTTTCAAAGCCTTAAAACAAATCGGCTAGTAAATTATTATTTACGAATTTGTTTTATTTTTTTTCACAAAATTCAATTCAAAATTAAAAAAAATTGCAGTTATCGGAAGCGAATAGTCAAAATCACGAGAATCTGCCATTAAGAATCATCGATACATTTCAGGAAGCTATAAAAATTATCGACATATGTGCCATCTCTAGTATGCGCAAGAAATTGGCTGCAGCTGCAGGAAAAAAACGGAATTTGTTAGACCAGCAATTATTAAATTTAGTTTAAATCTGATGTGACTATACGAACATAGGCACATACTGTATATTTTATTATCCAAACGTGTTTTTTATGTTTTATTTTCAATAACTGACGCGCGCTTGTGCAGAGAAAAGTGGCATGTGGTTTTCGTTTCGATTTTAGTGTGAAACCAGCCACAACACATCGAAAAAATAAAATGGCAAACACATGCACAACTACAACAAATGTAGGTATTATCCAGCTACAACATTGTGCTGGACATGAAAATTCAATAATTCGTGCATTGTGATAACTAGCTTAAGGTTACATTACGAAAAATATAGCAAAGTAAAATTATGATATATTAGTAACATTCACACACTTATGAATGAGTGCGCGAGTGCTGAGCAAATGATGACAGTGTTTTATAATCGCGCATTTTTTAGTGGGCGCGCTCCTCGGACAAACACAAACACACACACACGCAGACAGACACGCATAGGCATACGCATAACACATTCCTGCACCCACACAGCCCATTTTTGACCTCCCCTACGGAGCAGCAGCATCCCCCATTCCAAGCTGTTGGCCAGCTGATTCACGCTCAGGCCTTTTTGCAGTGCATGCGGAACTCTTAAAATAAATTTGTTTCACAAATTACAACGGTGTCGTCTAATGACCCTGCCCCACTGACGGCGGCGACGGCAACGACGACGACGTTGTCATCTAGCAGCGCTGCTTATATAAGTGTACGATAAATGTTTGTGTGAGTGCGTATGCCAAAAAAAAAAAAAAAAGAATTGAGTATACCGTGAAAGCAGCCCGAATTGCAAACAATTTAAGCACCACAATTAGAAGCCAACAAAAGGAAACAAAACTTTAACCAAATTGTTTTTTCTTTTTTTTTCTTTGTATTTTTATTTTTTTGGCAAGCATCTCCAACGCTGCAACCATTGACGCCGCGCACGCCTTTGGCTTTCAAATTTATTTTAGAGCATTATGCCATCCATCCATTTAGTTTCGCTAACAGCAGGCGCTGGTAACGCGCGCTTAACAGTGGACAGTGGACAATAACAGTACAATAAATGTTTCGAGCTGGAAAAGCGAGAACAAAAACAGTAACAACAACAACAACAACAGCAAGCAAAAGCAATTTGCTATTTTTTCAATTCCGTTTCATTTGCTTCGCTGTTGGCATCGCCGGCTTCCATTCACATTCACAAATTAGTTGCTGTTAAGTCTGTTTGTCATATGTGTGTCTATATGTAAATTTTTGCTCTCTTATTACGCAATGCAGTTGCAGTAGCAACTGCGCGAAAAGCAATCGCCAAATTCGCGTGCTGTTATCGCAATTATCGAAAGCGTTGTGTGCTTGATCAAGCGACGACGGTCAGGGAATACCTTGGCTTTGTACTTTAGTGTTTGCTGGCTTATCATGCTGCAGGCGTCGTTGTCTCTGTCGACGTCGACGTCGCCGTCACATGCTTCCATTCGACGGCCTTTGTGCGTCAGCGCCATCGACTTGCCCTGGAAAGTGCTGAGCGGCTGTAGTGCAGTTTTTCGCCGCGGTTTTGCTTCCTTCGGCGACATTCTGACTTCGCTTGTTCGCTTTTAATGTTTTGTTTACAGTTTAATTACATGTTGTTGCCTCCGCTTTCGCCTTCGCCCCGTTGCGCATTATCGCTGCGCTTGCGAGACGTAGAGGTTGCCGCGATACGTATACGCCGCGATTGGCACGTAGTCTGTCTGTCTGCTTTTGGCCATCTCTTTGACTCGCAGCTCTTAAATTTGAGGCAACAGCTGTTACCAATTGAGCTCGAGTTCTCTTCGCGCTGAAGACTAAGACAAAAGTCGAGTGGGTGAAGCAAAATCAGTTAGCGCTTGATAATGGTAAAGAGTGCATGGTCTAAATTGTGGGAAGAAACTAAATTGAAAATTTTGAAAAAGCTGATCACTTTTATTTAATTTTCCCAATAAATATAACAATAACTGTTATACGCAAAACTGTTATCATTTGTAACGGTATCCGATATGGAATCTGCCCGACTGCGGCCTGTAAAAATATGTGATAAATTAACGCGAAAATCCTTTGACGTTCACTAATATTTATAGTATTAATAATCATCGCTTTGACGTTGACTTTATCGGCGGACCTGAATGGCAGATAAGCGCTTCATAACGAAAACGCGCCCAGTTAGGTGCTAGGTGTTAACTAGTTAGTTAGTTTCATGTGCTTGCAAGTCAATTAATAAGCCAGTTTACATTTTATTTGCAGCAGATAAACTGACTGGATACTGACGAGCCGAACGGCGGTTATCAAGAAGCCACATCTATAATTACAATATAAGAAGTTGCAAACATTTATGCTATCCGCAACATTGGGGGCCAATGGCGGCCCAATGCCGCTCAGTCCCTCGGCGCAGGCGACGCTCAGCAAGCATTTGCCCAAGCTCCAGACGAAGCGTCTCATGCAACAGGCGGCGGCGTCGACGGCGGCCAACAAACCACAGACCGCCGATGCCAGTTGCTTAACTGGTAAGTTGTGTAATTATTTGTACTGTTTGTTAAGCGTTTGCTAATGTATTACTTTATCACACAAACACACAGATTTGTGCAGCAGCGAGAACTTGCCGGAGGTGGAAATATTTTCATTGCTGGAGGAACAAATACCCAAATATAAAGTACGAAATGATTTCCTCACCGATTTCTCGGGCTATGCGAATGAGGATTGGTTTGTGCCAGCCCCAGCGCTGACAATTCCAGTCGAGGGTCTCGGCTTGACCAAGGAGCAGACTAGAGAGTGCCTCAACTATTTTCGTGAGTACCTTTTTTTATCAATATTATTACACCTTAAGATACCCAAGCAAGTGTCTACGCTATAAATAGTTACAGCGTCAGTTTAAGTATTTATCAGCACTGGGCATGAAAAGCCTATTGTACACTTCCCATTAACCCCTATATGAATCTATATATATATACCCTTTTCTTCTAGCCCAATGGCTATAGTTATACAATAGCACTTGGGTGTACATCAGGGAAAAAAATCAAATGAGAATGTGCGTGGCATCATCTTGTTTTAAAATCGCCTTTGTGTGATTTGTTTTTAAGTTTTATTCATTTTTAAATATCTTAAAAATTGTTTATCTGTTTCGCTTGAAACAAAACGCAATTTTCTTTTATCTGCTCGACGCAAAGCAGATAAAAATAAATTCTATATGTATTCCATTTCGGTCATATTGACGCCAACAAACTTGTGACAAATTATTATTTGTGTCTTGGCAGAGTCTGCAAAGAATTTGACATATACATACTTTTTTTTTGCAATTATACTCTGAAAATATAAACTAGTTTTTATCATAGTACAATGTATGTATTTGATAATTATTTAAAAAACGCGCCAAGTTTCGCGTCCTAATACAACACTTGTTCTTAGTGTGGCAAAAACTCCATACTGATATTGTTATTTGAAAATTTAAAAAAAATGGGTTAACATTTAGTTTCTATTTTATATTCATCAATATTCGTCTGTGTTAATATTAGACTTAATCAATTTATTGCTACTCAAGTTGAATCTTATAATTGAATGCATGTATCACACACGAAGTGTCAGCTCAAATGTGTCCATTTTAGTGTGAACGGCGTTGGTCACACTGATTTTGCCATTCACCTCAACGTTTGGCATTCACACAACGCACAGCTGTTTTTTCTTTTTGGAGCATTCGCCAGCAGATGGGGGCAATTGTCCGCCTTTGTCATTCCGCGTGCGTCGTCGTTGTGTGTGCATTTCAAAAGAGTTTGCCAAGCTACGGCGACGCGCCGCATTAAATGAAAAGTGCCAAAAGAAATTCGTAAGCGTCGTACGCGTTTTCTTGTATATGTATTTTAAAAATATACACACGTTGACATTGGGCCAAAAATTATGTCGGCCTGCTAAAATGATTCGGCGTGTGGCAGTGAAACACAGTGTGTGCGTGCCCCAAAATGCATAAATAAATTGTAAATGCCAAAATTGAAATAATTCAACAAAAAAGTGAGGCACCGAGCCAGCCCAAACATATTTGCTATAACTGTGTTATTTACTTGTGCAAAAAAAAAAAAAAAAAAAAAAAACAGCAGCTAAACGAAACATTTGGAATTTCTCCAAGTGCCTCGCCTGCCGACTGGCGTCATGCAACTGAATTTATTTTTAGGACAACTATACGCACACAGCAACAACAACTGAGAGCTTTGTGAATTATGAAGAGACCAATTTGTTTGCTGGTGTGTGTACAAATTCAATGAATGGGGTCGCAATTCTCTGTGAGCCAGTATAGAAGTTGTAATTCATATCAGGGCATGGGCAAGGCCAACGTCTGTTAGCTTAACATGCTTCGAGTTGTATTTCTGGATGCCATTCAATGTTTCCCATTTGCCTGTTGCCGTTTACATAATCGTTTTTCCATGTGCCGCTATTCTGTCTCGTATATGTTGTCTCCGTCTACAGCTGATAAGCTGAAGCGCTCAACAAAGTCGTCGTCTATCGGAATTTACCGTATGTCTGTCAGCTGTTTGGTTCGTTCGTTCATTTGTTTGTCCATCTCGTTTACCGTTGCGCACTTCAAAATGCCGCTTATCCAGTGCCAGTTCCAGTGTCACTTCCAGTTCCAGATGCTTCTGTGTAGCTGATTAATAATTATCAGCAATATTGCTGCACTGCTCTGCCGTATATCGCATCAATCAGACGCTCTTGTCACCTGCTCGTGTGAGTTTATCTTTGCGTTTAACAGCAAAAAAAAAAAAATAAACGCGTTCCGTTGGTTACTCATCAAGAGAATAAACCGCAATGCAAGTCGGTGTTCTTGGCTATTAGGCACGTTAAATTGCCGATCATTTCCCCCAGACCTAGATAGTTGGCCATTTTATTGGTGTTAAGCTGCCGGCGGACAGCGGCAAACAATGCGCAAAGTGGCAAAAATTTATGTCAGCTCTGTGTGTGTGTTTATGTTTGGCTATAATACGGATTATGTCCGTGGGGCCCGCGAACATCTCTTTGTCAAACACAAATAAATGACGGGTAACGATGTGACACACTTTAATTACGTCATTTCACAACACTAAGACTCGAGCGAGCCAACGGTCTGCCATGTTGTGCCTTGTTGTGTGTGTGTGTGTGTGCGTGCTCTACTCTGTGTCACTGGCCTATTGATTAGGACATTCACATAGCGGGACGCAATTACGAGCATAAATTGTTGCCTATGTTATAAGTCAACACACATGCACTTATCCCACACTGAACTTCCTTATTAGTGTTGGCTAGCGCTTGTCGATGCAGTGCTCCATTTTGCTGTTTGTCCATATGTAGAAGTATTTAATTGCGGCTAACTTTTGCAAATAATTAATTACCAACAACTTTTTGTGAAAGTTGATGTGAACCAAAAACATCAAAATTACAACGTTTGTCTTATTTAGCTGCTACTTATTGCCGTTTTCATTTCAATTTCGCGTGCGAGCGATTGATTGGCATTTTTTTTTTTTTCATTTTTATTTTATTTTGATATTTGCTTTTTTTTTTTTATTAGCTTATATTGTGTGTGTTTTTTGTTGTTATTTATTCAGCTGTCTTTACATAATTGCAACGCCGCCGGGCGTTTAGTTTGTCAATCAGCCAATTAGCCCATCAACCTAGGCGATTCTTAAGCCCCTTGATTGTTGCTTTTTATGCTTTATTATCAATGCGATAACGAATTTTACATTTACCAACTAATTTCGCCAACGTATGAATGCGTGTGTGCCCCTTTATAGTCGAGGCTTACCCTTAAAGCTTGATTCATAAAGTTGTATACATATATAATTCATTTGCGAGACATACGCCATTTGCATGTCGATGAACCACAATTCATGATGCCTTTCAATGTACTCTGCTTTCTGTACCCTCTCTCTCTCTCTGTATTTGTTGGTAGTATTAATAAGTATTATAGGTATTTAATTCTAAGAAATAGTTTTTGTTTTCTTTCAATTCAAATATCACTCCTTGCATTTATTATTTATTAAGCTTATGTAGCTTACATATTTGTTTTCTTTATTATTTATATTTTAATTTGTAGGGTATTCAAAGAGTTTATAAGCATCTCTTGCTTGTGCATCTCTAACTGTGCTGTTGAGTCATTTGAGTTTTTAGCGTGCCGTGATTGCCTTACAAATTTTTATATTAAATATGTGACGTTCCGAGACTGTTGACGAGGTATTATACATAAACATACTTAATAAAATAATCCATAAAAAATTTTGCGCTTAAGTTTTTGTTCATGTTTCTACTATATTTAATTGAGGGTTGCAGCTTTTGGAAAGAAGTATTATTTTAAAGCGGGCAAAAGAAAACAATATTATGTTTTTGAGGTCAGTTTATTATCACATATGAATTGTTTGAGTCATTATCAGTTTGGGTTAGATCTCATTTCGTCAGTTTACAAATTTAGTGTTGTAAAAGAAATTGTAAGAGAATAAGAGAAATCCTTAATATATTTGAAACTTAGAAGAAGTTTCTGAAATGAATCCAAAAATATTGGCGACAATAAAAAAAAGGGTAGTTCACGTGGGGGTCTACATACCCTTTCCTTTATAAAGACTTTTCGTTTTAATAGCTTGCGTGACGAAGAGTTATCCGTGGACTGTGATTTGTTTAGCTTGAATTTTTTAATTTTTTTTCTCATTTTGTGCTGGTCATCTCTCACCTGAGCAGTTTATTTGGCACAAGCTAACGGCTGTTTGTTTCTAGCTCAGCTCAATTTTCTTTCACTCGCCCGACCATAAATTATGATCTGATAGTTATTAGGCGCAGCTTCAGCCTTCAGCACATGCTCTTAACTTAATGTTGCATCATTTCCCCATGCTACATTCCGATGTTCCACGTTCTACGTTCACCTGGTCATTATTACATCCTCTGCTCTGTCTAGACCTGTTCTATGCTGCAGCCCACACAGAAGGAAAGTGCTGGCCATGGCCAGGGGTGAGGCGCTTCTTTAATGCTGGCTGCTAATTTGTAAACTTGTTTTGTTGTTCGACATTTTCCTAGTCGCCAGCTCTAACTATTTCCCAGGGCCGGATTGCATTCCATTTAGTTAGTCGGTCGGTCCACTCTTGTGTGTGAAGTTGAGTTTTGGGTTTTGAAATATTTTCCATGCGCATTGTATGTAAATGTGGCAAAAAAAAAGCCAGTGTTATGTTGTTGAAATTAGTATTTTAATGCTAGACATTGGCCAAAAAAAAAAAATGAATGCATATTTCGACTACTCAGAAAGTGTTTTGATAAGCAAAAATAGACCATCGATAAGTGCGCTTTCCGATGAGACACAATAAAGATAATGTGCTTTTGATTAGTGAGTCAACTTAGTGCGAGACTTTAACTAAATGCGCAATAGCTATTGGTAGTAAGTGGAAGGACACTGACATTGCGTTTGCCAACACTGTCGGCGGCGCAGGCTCTTTTGTCGATTTAGACATTGTTGTGATAGTTGTGACAACTCATACACAACTATTTTGCATGCAAATTCTCGGCGAATTGTTGATTGTGCGCGAAACACAGACATTGGCTGGGGCTATATGCGTTTGCCAACACTGGCTTCGGCGCAGTGCTGCCACCGCGCCTAGCTCGATTTTGACAAATCGTGACAACTCAAACACAACTCTTTGGCAGGCCAACAAAATCAATTGCTGCATACAAATTCTCGGTGAATTGTTAATATTGTGCAAAAATAAAAGCTAACCACGAGCAAATCTTGTGTTCTAAATAAACCAAACAATGCGCTTGCAACCTAAACCTGCACCAACAACAGCAACAACATTAAAATGTCACTACTCAACAACAACAACAACGCTCTAAAGAGCAAGAATCTACAACAACAAAATCATGTGAAGCTGGCAGCACTAGCTCCAGTGCTGCCCATCATCAACGAGATGGTGCTGGAGCCGGAAGATCCGGATGATTATCAGCACAATTTTGCCGCTGGCCTTGAGCCCGAGCTGGACTTGCTGAACAGCACTTCAAAGCTGGCAAACAGCGCCAGCAACAGCTCCCTCTCCTCCAACTGCAGCTCCATGTGGACGACCACGTCGACGGAGTCGGAAATGACAATCAGCAAGCAGCCGTCGAATACGAGCAAGCACTTTGAGAACACGTACAAGCTGCTGGGCAAGCAGCTGGAGATCAATTGCCAGCGCACCGCGGACAAGCTGCAGCAGCTGGACCCACAGCTCGATAGCCTGGACAGTCTGAGCGGCTCCTGCGCCTCGATGTCCGCCATTGTCCATGGCACGGAGCCGGCGCCCACACGCCTCGAGCTCGAATTGGAGGCCGTCGAGCGCATGCGCATCATTGTCCAGCAAATGAAGAGCACACCCAAGGAGGCGACAGCGAACGCTTCCGCGCCGCTGCTGGCGCTGCTGCACGACTTTGCCGCCAAGGGTCAGCCCCAGGCCAAGGACGCCAGCACACCGGGCACGCCAGTTCCGAGTCCCATAACGGGCGCCCTGCCCGCGGATGGGCCCAACTTTGAGCTGCCAACGGAGCTGCTGCAAACGGCCAGCTCCTGGGAGCTCATGTACTACGCCTCCAAGAATGTCGATGGCCAGAATTGTCTGAAAGTTGTGCGCAGTCTGTTGACCAACAAAGGTAAGATTCAACCAATCCCTCCCAGGCCAAAAGAAAAAATGCAAAAAAAAAGTCACAAAGAGACCAAGAGAATCAGAAACAAATTTAAGAAAATTCTTTTCAATATATGATGGAAAATATAAAGCTAATTTTAAGTAATTAATTTCAATTAATTTTCTTTGTTCAAATTTGGCATCTACATCTTTCTAAATCAACAAGTTTTTCTTTGGGCTGTGGTTCATGCTAAAAACTAAATGTGTAACTTAGTCAGACCAACTAAGTCGTAGCACTTAAAATTTGTGGACATTTGGCTTAGACTGGCCTTTAAATAAAAAACCTGGTTATCTGTGAAGTGCAGTTGCAGTTACCTGTGCAAAAGCGCCTCGAGTCAACTTATCTTATCGCTTGTTTTATATTTGTTGTTCGATTAATGTTTTCTCAATTTATTTTAGTTTTTTACGATTTTATTTGTTTTACTTTGTGTTTTTTTTTTTGTGGTCGACGTGTGAACCAGCACGACAGCAGTTTTTCGCATGTTTCATTTTTTTGTTTATCTCTAATTCCCATTTGTTTGCAAGAATTTCAGACTTTGTGTTTGTTTTATTTTTTTTATGCCCTGAACCCATTGAAAATGGGTGAAAAGCAGGGTATAATGTATTTGTGCAAATGTATGTGTCAGACAGAAGAAAGCATCTCCGAACCCATAAAGTATATATATATTCTTGATCTGCGTCAATAGCCAGTTCGATCTAGCCATGTCCGTCCGTCAGAAGCTATAAGAGCTAGAAACTAGGTCTTCCTGGTGCCTGCGCAGATCGAGTATGTTTTCGATAATCGATAACCGTTTTCAAGCAATCGATACAATTCGATAACGACATTTTTTCTTTTTTAAAATAGGGTAAATATTAAGAGCAAGAGTCATCTAACTTGATATGTTGCTTCTAGAATAGTATAGTATCATTGGGGTTCAGGGTATTCCCTAGTCGGGAACTCCCACCCACTTGTTTATGTGCTGTTTCTTTTAATAAATCCCGCCGTAGTCTTGTTGATATTTGCACAAATCGTTATCAATTTTGGTACAAACACATTTATATATATAAATAACAGCTTTTAGCAAGTTAATTTGAAAAACTATTAATGCTTTGACCAAAAGCACATGATCTCATCTTCTAAATCGCAGTTTAAGCTTGCTTCATTAGGGCTTGCAAGTTTCTGCTTATGGCTGCGTTTTTTTTTTCGGCTCAGGTGCTTCAGATATGACTTGCTGATTATTCCGGCTAAGTTGCAAGCGAAGCTGCAGATCATTGTTGCTTTTTGTTTTTTGTATCTATCTATTAGCAATGAATTGGACAATGCCACAAAGCCCTTAGTTCGACATTTGCAATGGACATCAAATTCAAGTCTAAAGTCATTAAATGAATAGTTTAATGACCGACGATAATTAACGGAACATTACCTGTCATTTTAGTTGCTCGTAAATCGCTTTTCTAATTTAGTCAAGAAAAAATAGGCATAAAAGATTATGTGAGGAACTATTCCCATGGTCCGAAGACTATTATCCAAACTCTTCTATAAAAACATATTTAGACGAGAACTAATTGTGTTTTCACGCTTTATTTTCGGGTCCAAGGCACGTGCTATAAAGTATTTAACAGATTAGCTAGACTGGAAACTTTTAAGCAAACCGAACAATTCTAAAAACTCGCACATTTTCGGCTCAATTTCTCTTACCTGTATTTCGTTGCGCTTGTGTGCCTAGTTTTCCAGGGAACTTTATTATCCTAATACACGGAAATTTACCCGCGACGAGTTCCTAAGTCTATATATGAATGGGATTAGGTTTAGGTAGGCCGATGCCGTTTTCCCTAATAAAAATAGGATATGAAAAATGATATATGACAGATAAATAAATAATCACAGCTTATTGTAAACCAAGTAAAAAGTTTTGGGAAATGCAAAAAATAATTGTAATATGTCTTACCCTAAAATTAAAAGATTTTTTTAAGTACAATATAGCTAAATAATTTTTCTACCGCCTCTTCCTATAGAGCTAGCATAGTGAAGCTGGTAAATGTCGGGGTTGGTCAAGATAACTTGATAAAAAGATTTTCATAGAACTTAATTTACGACCGATCGTTTCTCTTTATATCCGTCAAACCTCTTAAAGGGTATGAAAAAGTTCATATTAGTTCTTATATCTTGCCGAGGGTATGTGAGCGATAGATTTGTTTACGCTGGCAATGCTATCAGGTTTCTCTCACTCTCTGTCTGGTGGATGCCAACTTAACAGAATAGCCGCAGTTTGTACATAACAGAGCAATAACAGCGCATTGGTTGGCTCTCTTTACGTGTGGATGTCATCTTTGGTGGTGGATTCCAATGCAGCCAACAAGACCCACAGAAAATAAAATTCACTCTGAGCGTTCGTCGTGTATCTGCTAATCCGCAAATTACACAATTCGTGCCAATTGTAATGCTTAAAAGACTCGAAAGTATTGTCAAAATGTGAACGAGAATTTCAATCAGTGCTCTGTTATATTTTCGTAAATAAAAATCAAACAAGAGAAGCGCGCTGTTTCGATAAAAATTGCGAAAAGAAAAAACGTAACCCTCCTCTGGGCCGTCTAACAACAACAAGAACAACAACATTTATACTCGAACTGTGTGCTTGTGTATTGCGAAGCGTCTGTGCATGTGTGCGTGTGTGTGCGTCAATCTCTCAACTACGTTGCTCCGTCACGAGTTTGGAGCGCCGTTTGCTGCCCGTCTGGCGTATTTTTTTTTTTGTATACTCTAGAATTCAGTTGGAAGTTTTAGCATTCGTTAATGTCTCACAACCTTTGGACTGGCCACAGCCTTGTGGCTATTGTGATTACCAACTGTGTTGTTGTTGCTGCCGCTGCCCAGTGAAGTGAAACCCTCGTGAAGTTCGCTGCCGAAAGTAGCGAAAAACCAAAATCTGTTTGGATATTTTTAGCACGTGAGTTTTGACCATCAGCGTATATTTATTATTCGTATTTCCCGTAGAACCGGCAGCTGTTGTTGTTGCATTAATTTTCACCAAACATTCATGCTGCTCTTCCTTTCACTCGCTCTGTCTTAGGGAAAACGCCTTTTACTTCCAAGCTGAGCGTTGCAGCCTGCAGTTGCCTGCTGCGCTGCCTCTGCCTCTGCCGCTGCAGCTGTCCGTTTCTCTGCCTCAATCCGCTCTGCTGTTAGTGTATGTGTGTACGTCGCGTTTGCAAGAAGTGGCTTTGAATTTGAGAGTTTTAAAGTTGCGCTCATGGCTATAAATATACATAAGTAATTCCAAAATCTGGTTTAAAAGTTCAAACTAGATTTTTACATTGAAACCATTGCGCAAAAACGATATTTTGCGCACATTCAGCGTGCGCTGAGTGGGCGGCAGAGAGCAAGAGAGCGAGAGAGCGCGCGTGAGCGACTGTCTCATGACAGTCTCAGTTTCTCTGGTGACTTCAGACATTTCACATTAATTTAGTAATTCATTTAAGTGTTTCGTCTGTAATTGGCGATGCGGTTGCAGCTTAAACTAAAAAAGAAAGAAAGAAAATTATAAAAATAGCAAAACTCATGTGACATACGGAGAATAAACAACGAACGCAACCCCCAAAATGCCGCTTGAGTTCTAGACTCAAAATACAGGCTACAACAACAACAAGAATAACATCAACCACCAGCTAGAAAAACCAAATGCTTTGGCAGCAAAAATTTACAATGAGACTTTTCATTACATAATACGAAAGAGAAAGCAAAGCTATAAAAGAACGCAACAGATTTAAATATTTTATAAAAAGAAATTCAAAGAATGTTAAAACTGCTGCAGCGTAGCTAAGGAAGTATTAATAACAATAACAATAAAGACTAATTTCGGCCATGACACACGTAAACAATGCCGAAAACGCAGCAAAGACAGACGCGGCAATAGGGTGTCAATTGCGGCCTGCTGTCAATGTGGCGCCTGCTGCCGGCGACGACAGTGTGCATCGATTTTTAGCCACTGAAGAGAACAACAGCAGCTGCTCTCATGTGGATGCTGTTGTTGATGCAACGGCAAAGAACTGCCTAGAGGAATGCTCGTTTGTTGCGTGCCAAACGAGAGCGACGAGCGATGGTTGGCGCGATAACTTCTGCATTACTGAAGATGAACTTGAGTACGAAGATGAACTCGAGCTCTCAGCAGGTTGTAGTGCAACAACAGCATCGACGTCAGCAGCGACGCCAGCGCATGAGTATGGTCTGGTGGGCTTTGGGTTGGGAGAGCGAGAGCAGCAGAATGAGCAATTGCTTATGGAAGGTATTCTTGTTTTGGTATTTTTTTTGTTTTTTTTTTTTTTAATTACGCAACGATCCTGCAGCCCTATCAAATCGATATGTCGATATTTAAAGCCAGCCAATCAGCTATTGATTTTGCATCCCTGGTAATTCGATAACTTAAGTCTGATGCACAGATTTAATGTTAATTCGATGATAATTGTCAAAGTATTCAATTTCATATATTTAACTTATTTTGATTGCGATTCAAATGTTATCTAATCATTTTAATTTGCCTTGCAGTTCTATGTGGTAACCGTGTTAGCCAGATGACTCGCGCCTACGATGATATTGAAGCCGTGACGCGTCTGTTAGAAGAGAAGGAGAAGGATTTGGAGCTGACGGTGCAAATTGGAAAGGAGCTGCTCACGCAAAATAATGCATTGGAGGCGCGTGTTACGGATCTGGAGACAGATCTAAAGTCCGCCAACGATGATCGCGCCCAGCTGCTGCACGAGCTGCACAAGAAGAATGAACTGATTTCGGTGCTAACAAACGACGCGGACGATGGAACCGATGCGGGCAAGTTGCTTAGTTGATAAGTTGATAAGGCATATAAATTAATAGTGAACTATTTTGGGCAACCTATAGACACGCCTACCATGTCCAAATCAATAACCCTGGACCTGCTGCAGAAGAAGGTTAACTCCTTGCTGGATGAGAATAAGACACTTAAGAGCGAGGCTACGCAGCTGGCGCACCAGACAGATGAGGTGGAGGAGCACGAGCGACGGCTGATGGCGGATATAAGTGCCCAGCTGAACGATGCCAATTCGCAGTATGACAATATCAGTCTGGAGCTGGAGCGACAGCGCGAGGAGAACCGATTGCAGCACGAACAGATTGTCAGCCTGACGGCTCGCCTGGCGGAGGCGGAGATGCGTCTGCATCAGTTGACCCAGGACAACGACGAGCATCTGTCGCTGCTGCATGTTACCAAGGAGAATCAAAATGCGCTCGCCCTCGAGCTGGTCGAGTTCAAACAGCGCTATGAAGAGGTGCTTGCGCTGCTGCACTCTGCCCAGGATCAGCTGAAGCAGCAACGTAAGCGCTCGCAACCGCAGGCCCGCAGCTCGTTCCTGGGCGGCCTGGGCACGAACGGTGCCGCGGCTGCTGTCGCTGTCGAGTCACTGCAGTCGGAACTGATGGAGTCGTCGCTGTACTCGGAGAACAGCCTTGACTCCGGCATATCGGGTGATAGCCAGCGCTGTGCGGACCGCATTGGTCGCATGATGTCGCAGCTGCCCGGTGGCATGGCGGCCAGTCTTGGCTCGAGCAGCATATACGGCCCGCCGCCATACCAGCGGGCCTTCGACACGGTGCGCTGCGCCAGCAAGAGCGGCAACTACCTGGACAGCGGTAATGTGTCCATGACTCAGTTGGGCGCCATGTCCATGAGCAGTGCCTCCGGGCCGCGCATGGCCTCAATGGCCTACCCGGCGGGCTCCTATTATCGCGGTGCTAGCGGCGGCAGCAGCAACTCGCTGGGCCTGAAGACGCTCTCAAGTGAAAGCCTTAACTCGCAGTCGGACGACGGATATCCGGCGCAGCCATCAGGTGTGCCTGGCGCCCCCGGTGCCAAGGAGCTGGAGGCGGCTCTCAAGCGTCTCACGCCCGCCGAGGTGTTGGCTCGTCGTGCTATGCTCTCATATGCGCCAGCCGGCACTTACAATTACGATGAGCCCGCACACGGACGAAGCGGAGTTGCGGCGGGCGGCCAAGCCGCTGGCCTAACATTGCCCATGGGTGTACGCACGCCGGACAGCATCATGTCCACGGGTTCGGGTTCGTCTGGCCTAACGACGCATCAGTGGCGTCTGCCAGAGAAACTGCAGATTGTCAAACCCATGGAGGGCTCACAGACGTTGCATCATTGGTCGCGTCTGGCCACGCCCACGCTCAGTGGTCTGCTGGAGGAGCGACCGGGCGTGACCATACGCGGCGGGCGTGGTCTCGACGATCTGGGCATGCAGGTGTACACGCTATCCGACGTGGAGGAGGACGTCAGCGATGAACTGGGCCTGGGCAAGCAGTTTGAGGCGCCTGGCTGCACCTACACGTACACGAACAGCATGGTCATGCATCCGGATGATGGTTTCGTCAACGACCTGTCCTTCCTTTCCCAGTCGCAGATGTCCTCGCGCATGGCCTCCACATCGACATCCAGACAGCCAAGGTAAGACCCTTGATCATGTTATTCTTGCATTTGGTTAAATGTATTTTTCTTCGACTTTAAATAGTTGTCCGGCTACGCCACGCGCCGGGATGTCGCGCAAGAACTCCTGCTCCACGTTTTCGGTCAACTTGGGCCTGGCTGGCATGTTGAATGAACGCGGCATTAAGGCGGTCACGCCCAGCGCACTTAATACGCCCGCCGGGCCGAACTTTTCGCCGACCGTGACACCCTGCAACAGTCCGGAGGGTTCGCCGCCGCGTGCCCAGTCGCCGGAGCCGTTGTTCGGACTCTTGTCCTCGGGCGCAGATTTGATAAAACGCAAATTGGTGGGCCCCAGTGATCTGCAGCTGCAGCGCAGTCTGAGCAAACAGCAGCACCAGCAGAAGGTGATGTTGTCGCACCTGGAGCGTCGGGCTCTGCGTTCGCTCAATCTGATCGAGAAAGTGGAGAGCATCGGCCTGGAGAACATTATCAGCGCACAACGCGGTCTAGGCACGGGCATCGCCAATCGCAGCAGCTCCCCGCTATCGCAACTGAGCAGCAGCAGCAGCAGCGTCGCCGGCGACAGCCTCCAGAGTTTGCACACCAGCAGCAACAGCATCGTCGACGACATCCACTTTGATCGCGCACAAATTAAGGGCGTGCTGCATCGCGGCCTGAAATCGCCGACGCCGGCAGCCACAACGACGGCCACAAGCATGGCCGCCAGCAGTGTCACCAGCAGCGCCTACAACAGCGAGGATAGCGATGATCAGGGTATTGTGCTGCAGCGGAAGTCCAAAACAAGCTCGGCGCCAACTGCGAAAATGGCAAATTCTGCTGCGTCGGTGGCGGCTGTGGAAGTCTCGGCAACTGCCAGCGAAACACGGCTGAAGCAAATGCAGCGCCAAAAGTCGCGACGTAACCTTAAGAACGGCATGGCCGCCCAGCGACCCGATCTGGGCACCATTGCGGGTAGCGGAACCTCCAGGCGCGTACGTCCAGATCTTGGCAAGGTCTCGGACACCAGCAGCAGCGGAGCAGGCACAAGTGACGCCAAGAGCAGCGACAATGAGTCAAAGACGGCTCCACAGAGCATCACCCAGGCATTTGTGGGTTCGGTTAGTTCCTTGTTGTTTGGCCGCAAGGGAGGCTGGCTGTAAACACAACAAACCACACACACACACACACACACACACACACACACACACACACACACACACACACACACACACACACACACACAGATACATTTAGACATACTACATATACGTATGCAAGCAAGCTCTTTAAAGCTAAACGCGCCTAAGCATGATTTCATGAGGCAAGCGAAATAATTATAGTTCGCAGCAAAACCACACGCAAAAAGGGTTTTAAGTTAGTCGCCGCCGCTGCCGCCATTTTGTTGTTGACTGTCGACGTTATGCAACACTGGCCACGTGGCCCGCTGTCTTAGTGTTTGTAGCTGTGATTTGTAAATACTTGTAGTAAAATGTTTAAATTTAGTAGTTTATTATTAATTAAATATTCACTTGTTTTTGCTTGTGCAACGGCGGAAAATTTGAACAGCAACAGAAGCAACAGAAACCCAGCATATCCTAATATGGTCGTCAGCAAGATTAACTATATATACTTATATATATATATATATTATTTTTGCCAATTTTGTATTTATTTTCATGTATGTGTTTAATTACGATGCGTAGAATATTAATATTTTATTTTCTCGATAATTCTCTGTATAAACTGAAGAGCGTGCGATAAGCAAATGTACATAAGAATATTTAATTGAAAGTGGACTCGCAAAAAGGTATATATATTTTTTTACACATGTATATATATAGTTTACGTTTTTGCTTTCCACTTGCCGACTCTTACGTATATCACAAAATCCAACACTGTCTTTTTACTGCTTACATATTCGGTGCTTTTTGTGCAGCCATACAAAAAAAAGGGATAGAAAAGTATGTCCCAATATAAACAATTTGTTTCTAGTCTTTACTTACGACTCTGTTCTCTCGTTTGGCTATGCTCTAACAATTTTCGATGCATAGCTTCTAAATGCAGTGCACTAAACAGGGTGTAATAAACATTTACTTTAATATTCTAGTTTTACATTTGAACAACTAAATTTTGAGGTGAATTAACAGCGCTGTTAGCTAACATTCGGAACACATGTTACTAGATCACCTTTGGCTAACGGCGTCTGCGTTCTGTTAATGGAGTTTCTATCACAAAAAACAATTGAGAAAAAATTTGGTATACTTTGTATTATATTATTACTTTTATTTTGGAGACATGCATATATCACAAATGAAGTTATAATAAAGAGCAACATATATTGACGAAATTTATTTATTTTTTTTTTTTAAACCATGTTTTAAGGAGTCTTATATCCAAAAGGAATGAGCTTCATTACTATTATCATAATAACTCTTAAAACTTGATTCAACTTTGGTCATAAATGGTGATGGATGTCAACTTATCTTATTAGACCTCTGTCCAGCTCGATGATTGTTTGAATCTTTTGAGATCTGTGATCCATCTTTTTTGTACAGACTCATAATATGTTTTATGATCATGTGTTAATAATTGTTGAGGGATTTTCAATACATGTATGTTGATTTGATTGTCTTCCGCTAGTTGAAGAGGGGTAAATCCATTATGAAAAATTAACTGGGAAGGAGCCCCAGATCCACTGTGTCTAATGAATGGAGAGGAATTAGGAAAGTTTATGCCCTTAATTTTAACGCCATAATTTCGGATCCTGGCAATTTGGGAGAATATCTCTTTCTTGTGGGTAGAAGAGAGATGATTTGATATTCTATAATATGGAACGTTTTGATTTTGAGTGTATTTTTATTTGAGCTAGAGCGAATGACCAGAAGTGATCAATTGATTGATAGAAGACAATAACTCCATAGTTTATGATTTTTTCTATCATCTCAAATGAGCTAAAATTGCCACTTGTACACAAAATTATAATATATCCAATTAAGATTCTAATAATTAAATGCTTTGTCAAATAATTTATTTTTGTGATTTTTCTATGTTTTTGAGAGAACTTTACAAGATGGGTATTTTTCCGACAATCAGTCAAATAATGTTGTGGAAAGCGATATTCTTTGTTTTTGTCAAAGAGAGTTGAACTAATATACAACAACGATAAAATTGTTTGTTTTTCATGCAGTTTTGATTGGAGAAACATAGTGTACTTAGAAGTGTGAGTATCCAATGATAAACACTGGGTACTGCCAATCAATTTTGTCTTTAGATTATCAAATCCAGGGGTTAATGAAAACGGCATATGAATGTGTGCGTTTGAGACATTGAAAAAATCACCAATATTAATTTTCCTCTTATCAACATCTTGTCTCATCCCGACTAAATAAACCTCTGTTGAGTTTTTTGACGAGAAAAAACTTCTAGAGATATATACATTCTGAAAGTGGGAACGAATCAATAAAATCTGATTTTTAAAGCTTGTCCAATTAGAAAAATAAGTCTTAAAAACCAAAAATGAGGTTTTTGAATAAAACGATATTTTAAGCAAATTTTTAAGCATTCTGATGGCTTTATCACTATTTTGCCAACCTCCCCCTTCTGCATCGCAAATAATTCCCCAAAGAGGCTTGTTAACACACTTAATGTATAAATTTGCATAATGAGGATGAGTCAAATCATTGATATACTGATAAGTGAATGTTAATCCAACCAAATATCCTCTTTCAATTGGACAACCTGCACAGCAAAAAGGATATTGGTTAACTAAAGCATTTTGGAATAAATTCGCCGTGTCTATTAAGGAATTATAAAAAACATTCACTTGATATACATATATCAATCAGCAATTTCGAAAAGCCTCCTGCCCCATCTCCAAAACATCCAATAGTCTCGTCATTAGATAGATGTACATCAAATGCTCTTAAAAGACTTACAAGTTTATATTGAGAGGTGGTAGGATAATTTAGATGTCCTTCTAAAGATATAGGGTTATGACTCTCTTGCGGCTTATTGGAAGATGACATAACAGTTGGAATTCCTACAAAATCATTGTTATATAAGATTTCTGATCTACATACAACTGGTAAATGTGAGAGAGATTTTCTTTCTAATCTATACAACGGGAAATTATAAGAAAAGGCAGGTAACTCAGATATCAATCCATCTGCTGTCTCAATTGAATGATAAATGATCAATGTATCAAGATATTGAAGGAATATTTTCATATTCCCAATGGAAATGAATTGAGAATATTTGGTGATATTTCCCTTTATTAAAGGGCGGAAATCAAAGGCCATTTGTGTATCCAGATTCTTCAAATCAGGTAAACATCTTTTTAGTAATAATATTAAATGATGATTCGGAATATTTGCTATATTCGACTTTTCTAAAAAGTCAGACCATATGATAGATATGATTAATGGATTACTATCTAGAGACACTTCTCCCTCCGTGAAAAATAACTTCCAGGACTTAAAATCATCATGTTCAAACATATCATTTTCAATCAATATCAATAACTGTAATAACAGACTCTTGATGCAGACTCCACAAGAATTCCTCGTAAATGTGGTTCTTAATGGGGGTCTGATATAATAGGGAGCACCACTTATAAAGTCTAGAAAGTTTGGATTTTGAAACCAAGAGGAAAAAATGCCAAAAACTATCGGTGGGATATGTTTTATAAAATGTAAAAATTCTTTATCCAATGATACCGTATTATCATTCAATATGATCTTTGATTCAAACTGTCTGGGAAAATAAAGAAACACTTTAATTCTACAAGTAGAGAGAAGAAGAATGTGATCGGATTTAGTTTAAATACCCATGATACTGGAAAAGTCCATCCTGATCTAGGGCTTAATTTTCCGTCTCCTATCTCTAGAGATAGCTGCCTGAATTTTATCATTGTCTCTTTAGCAGCACTCTTATATGACCTTAACATGTGATTATAATTTAGTTCTTTATTATGTTTTAAATTCAAATTAAATTCAGGATATGTACTTTGCAGCTTAAGGTTTTGTGCAATCTCTATCTTTTCCTCATTTATAGGAATTATACAATCCAGTCAATTCTGGTGCATATGATAGCATGTTGTTTGACAATCACAATTCAAAGATCTCATACTTGAAAACCATGAAGTCCCATAACTCATAGTTGCCTGGAAATGAAGGTTTACATTTACAGACCCTTTTGCATATGCAATAAATGTATCTGTTGCTAGAGATGAGAATGTCCCAAAATTGAACATCAATTCAACATTTCCTCCTCTGTTCACCGCATTGGATGCGAATCTATGTTCAACAGACCCGGATATTGCGGAATCCTCTGGATTTTAGAGTTCCGGGGGAAGATCAGTTACAGCAGAGAATAACCTCCCTATACATTTGGCAAGTTCTGACTCAAAAGAAGTTGCCCATCCAATTAAAGATTGGATTTTGGATGCTTTTTTCAATAAAGGAGAAGATGTTTTTGCAATTTTGTTCCCGTATGCCTTTACCTTATCTATTGTTCTTGAACCTATATAAGGAATGGCGACCCCTATTTGTTCTGCTTTGAACCAATCGTTATAAGGATATTGAATGGTCTGTTTCATAAGAATATAGCCTTTATCAGGGTTTGTATGATTGGTGCATAAAAAACCTTGTTCTATGTTTAAAAATTCAATAGGGTAGGGAACTGTGACACCAGTTATCTTTTGTGATTCAATTCTACTACACAATTGTCCAGGTTGATACTATAATCAGATTTGTAGAAAATATGATATAGAACACTAGTTAAATAGTAACTTTCTGCCATCTCCATTTTTGGCTGTCAATTTAATCATTGTTGATGTTTTATTTAATTGTTCCATGACTTGATGCGCTCTTCCCACAATTGTTGCATCTAAAATTGCATTACCAATCAATGGGTTGAGAGGGGTCATCTTGGATAGAGCATCCACTAAATCCTTTTGATTTTCATGTGATAATATAAGAAACTCTTTAACATAATCATTCTTAATCCAGGTGCAGTCATGAATAAATCTTGTTACGGTTGACTTCACAATGTCTCCAGGGGTTGTAGGGGATAACAGATTTAATCCTGTAGGATTGGAAAAAAGATAATCATAATTATAATCTGGATTGATGTGAGAACTCAGGATACCAGATGTTAATAATTTTTCTTTATTGCTCATGTGAGGTATCAGTATTTTAATTGTTGAAATATGTTCTGTCAGGGGATCAGGAAACCCCTTGATTAGGTAATTGCTCAAGAATCCTACAGGATATCCACCCAAGACCTTAGGGAACAATGAAAGAATTAACAATAGTTCTTTAGGTGTTTCTTCTATCATTGACACTGCAGAATGTGTTAATTTAAGCTGCTGTTTCCGTTGCCCTCCTGAAGACATAGGAGTGAAAAATGTAAGATGATTATCTTCGAAAAGCAATTTATTAAGAGATAAACCGAGGTAATTGATTTGAAACATTTCATTAAAAATATAAGAGTACCAAAAACTACTACATAAAAATGGGATTATGGGGGAAATATCTTATGAACAAGCTGCAGAGCAGTTAGCAGCTATAGATGAAATTGCCGTCTCAACGGTAGAAAATCCTTCATTGCTCGTAGGAAAATATCTAAATATCTTTTTTTGAGACATTGACAAAGGACACCCATTATAGATAATAAAATTTCCATAAATGAATAAAGCTGATGAAGACCATGTCTCTTCTTTCTTCAAAGGGGGACCAATTAATTTTCAAATTGTACACGCTTTGACAATTTAGGTTTATAGTTATAAGAAATTATATACACAAAAAAAAAACGAAAACAATATCAGAGCAAAAAACAAATGTAAAAGATTTTAGTTTTAATTATTATCAAAATATTTATTTACTTATGCAAAAATAAAGAGAACATCGTTAAATAATAATTGACCTCTTTGTCTGATTTTGGTGAATTCTGTCAAAAGGCTTTTACTGTCAACTTATCACAACTGGGGATACTCCTAGGAAAATCTGAATCGTCGATACCTGAAATATCTTATCGTTTTTTTCCAGGCCTACCCCTTAGATGTACTCGCAATATTTTAGGTGTCTTCATAAAATTTAGCGTTGCGACGTCCAAAATGGATAATACAAATATTTATTTCTTATAAACCAAGTTTCAAGCTTCTCACTTCAATTCCCAATTCATTTCAAGGAATTTCAGCGCCAGCTTTGGAGATGAGCTCAAAATAAAAAAAAATTAATTTATAGCATTTCAGCATTTAAAGAAAAATTAATTATTCTATGCGAAATGTTAAATTTTTATATATCGTTTTTATTCCATTGTAATGACTAACATTTTAAAAAATTACAATTCAATATTGGATAAATTAATTGTAAGCATATAATTTTATAATTTCTGCTTTATCCTGACTATAATTTGTTAAATTTGTTATAAGGTTGTTTCATTATTTTTCATGTTCATTTTCTCAATTTTTTCTTTAAAGTGTTTTTTTGTTTTTAAATATTATTTTATATATATATATTTTGCATTTTGCCGTGTTGTTGTGTATTTGTATTGCAACTGCTGCATATGTATATCGTTTAAATGTATGTAGTCATTAATGTAAAAATTTTAATAATGTATATTGTATTTGATTTAATAATATAAATAGTTATCCAGCGGAGCTTGGTACGTTACAGAGAAAAGGAAAAGCGTATAGGACCATTACCATTCCATATTAAGCACATCAAAAAAAAAAAAACAGAGTTCGCAATATAAAATCCGAGTACGTAAATAGTTTACAGCAATTAAAGATAATATATTGATCGACTTAATTTATTTACTTGGCTATGTATTCTTTAGACGTTCACGTTCGATGCTAACTCTCAGCCAGATTTTAGAATATATTCATTTGTTTTCTCACTATATGTTGAGTCGGTTGGGCGCAATTAAACTAACCATGCGATTAAGTACATCATTTGCAGATCGGTTAGTTATAAGCACATTCTGCGGAGTTTCAAGTTGCATAATCTGATGACTCCATATCCATACTGTTTATATATATATATATATATATATATATACATATATATATATCTGTCTACGCCGAGTCGTGTTGCTGCTAAACTTTAGTATTTTATTCAATTTATTGTTGTACATGCTCTTTTGGCTAAATATTGCAATAAAATATTTATTATTATTATTGCCTATGGTGCCTGACCTTTGATAGTTTGTTCAATTTATTTGGATTTGCTTTTTTATGTTTTTTTTAGTGTTTTTTTTTTTTTTTTTTTTTTTGGATAGGTACATAATCTATTATTACAGATATTAATAATGTTACTTTTTCACTATAATGCCCTGCTACAGCCATTTTATGGGTATTGTGTGGGCGTGAAATCAAATTAGAATTGCGTGTGTTTTTGCTTGTGGGTTTGTGAAATTAAACAAATAAAATTACATTAATTAATACATACAATAAATACAATTTGATGCCAATACAAGAATTCGTTTATAATAACTGGGCTGCGATCAATTCTCATTTATAGACTGGTTGAGGAATTTGCAACTAAAGAGTTTACAGTTGGGTTTTTATTTAGCTTGGGTTGCCTTTTTGCCTTTTTGCTTTTCAATATTTTTTTATAATTATTATTATTATTTTTTTTTTTTGTTGAAAAAATGAACACTTTTTATCTGGTGGGAATATACATATGGTTTTGGAAATCTATTGCACAGAACATGAATTTTTGTGGCCATTTTTGTGCTTTAGCCGCGCCTTCGGCTTGTATCTTTCCAAAAATGACAGTTGCTTGGCATTGATGGCGCCGCGTCGCTTACTACAAAACAAACAATTGATTAAAAACTAAATAAGATATATGTTCAAAAAATATATATATTGATAACTCACTCTCTAATCATTTCAACAGCCGCTTCATATTTCAAGCCCAATTCGATGAGTGCAAGTGCTACCAAAACGGGGGCACGTCCCAGACCAGCCACACAGTGCACGGCAACGCAAGCCTCAGGATTCTGCTGGTATCTGCGATAAGAATAAAGAAGATAAATATTAAGACAAGATATTAGATAAACAATAATAAACTTGCTTGGATGTACAAATTTGTTATACATTTATTGTGCCAACAGAAAATGCTTGCCTTAATTGTTACAAAAAGCAACAACGAGAGGCTACGCTTACCGACAAGTTTCATTATCAACGAATGCAGTATTATTAAAAATTGCTGCTGCTTCGCTTGTATCTGTTTCATTTGCAGTTAGGGGCATTGTATCTGTATCTGTAGCTGTGGCTGTAGCTGTAGCTGTAGCTGTTGCTGCTGCCGAGAGACTGGCTCGGGTTGTGGCTGCTGTCATTGGAGCTGTTTTTGGTATGTGTCTGAGCGAGAAACGCTTATGTCTGTAGTAGGATAGTGTGGCGCTTGAGGACTTTCTAAAACTAGCCAGTGGATAATAGCACACAAACCAAGAAACGAAACGGAGTACATACATTTACACACACATATATATATATGTGAATATACATATATATGGAAGGTAAGTTAAATTGCATACCGAAATTAAATTGAATTAAATTGATTATCGAGTGTGAGAGGGCAACAAAATTACATGACAAGCTAAAAGTTTAAATGTATTACAAATAATATATACACATGTTTGTAGTATACAAATGAATATAAAGGATAAAAATATGTCATGTGATGATATATTGCTATCTCGGCAGAGCCTAAGCGAAAACTACGAGATGGTTGGGCATGATGTAAATATCATTTATATAAATATATATATATACAAATTTGTTTGTTTTTTTTTTTTTTGAGAATTGTTTTGTATGAGGTTTGAAGCGCAGCTCTTGAAATGTTATTAGCAGCTCAGTTCAATGATTTTAGCAAACGGTTTTCTTATGTTCAGCTCATTTTTCAGTGTACAAAGCAACAAATAATACTGAATAAATTGATACAAATCAACTTTGGTAACGCTTCTTATGTATAATAATTGATTTTGCAAATTAGTCCTAATTACATATTGACGAGTTCACAGTATCTAACCAAACCATTTATATGATTCCCAATTTATTTTTATATTTTTATGAACTATCATTTCTTGGAAATCTTAATTTTAGTATTCAATAGAAGTGTTTTAATCATGTTGATAGCCTTTTGTGTACTTATTTTCTTTTGGTACTGAATAAAACTAATAATATTATTACATCTACATTACGACCGATCGTTCCTATGTTAGCTATATTATATACTAGTCCCAACCGACAGGTTTGAAATGTGTCGCAAATGTAACAGACAGACGGGCATGTCTATATCAACTCGTTCGTTGATGCTGATCTAGACTATATATATATACTTTATGGTGTCGGAGTTGTCTCCTTCTATTCGTGTCAAGACAAATGCAAATGCCCTCTATGAAAATCACAAATTTGTAGATCATATAAACAGTTTGGCACGATACCTCTCGCTTTTCATATTGCCAGCATATTGAAAACTGCAAACGTTATGTGAAATAAATATGTGTGTATAATTAAAATATGATTACTGCTTATTTAACAAATGGAAATTCAAGATTGAGCTTACATTTGGATATGGGCATTACTTACTTGTCCTTCAAAACCTCAAACCATTCGTCAACGACCTGCTGCGGCGGAAAGGTGCCGTCGTCAAAGGCCAGATCCTTGACAGTAATGCCTTGGGCCTCCAGCTCATCGGTATTGTAGCTGGGCTCGCACACACGCACCACAGTGTTAACATTGTTCTTTTTAAGCTCCTGCAGGGCAAACAGATTCGTTAGTTATTTTCGACAATGATTTGGGCATTTGTAACTCACCATTATATAGTGATTAATTGTTATGTCTGATGGTCGATCGGTGATTAGGAACTTCATGCCCTTATACTCAATAAGAGCAGGTGCTGGGCGCAGATCTTTTTGACGCATTGTGATGCTTAACTTAATTAGCTTTACGGATCAGTTAAATTTATAGCTTGTATAATTACAGAATTGAATTGAATTTTTCTTAAAAAATATTTTAATCGCTCCTAATTCTTTTTTTTTTCTATTCTTTGTTGTTGGGACTTTGTTACAATATGAATAATTATTATGTTATGTGTTTCAATTTTTTGATTTGACTTTCGGGAAGTTACACGATTTAATATTGTTGTTGAAAATTCAGCGAAGTGGTTTAGATGTAGATGATGTTTTAGGCTTGTTTAAAAACTTGTTGTAAAAAAAATATATATAAATATAATAAGATTTTAGCAGGCTTTCAAATACTACACTAAGCACACAGAACAAGTGAATTGTTTAAGTATAAATAAATAGCTCAATAATTAAGTACAATTTTGGAGTTCTTCAATTTTTCTGTGTCTCAACCCAAAAGACGGCTATTTTAAAAATTCCCTGTTAATATCGCAACTAACGCGAATCTATCCCAAAAACTTATTTATTTCGAGTGCAGCTGCTGCTCCTCGCCAATTACTTTATTGTTGTTTCCAAACTTTTCGTTGCGGCAACCTAATTTTAAATGTGTCTCCTCGTGATATGAACTCCGTTCAGCCAGAAGTTGTATACTTTAGCTCGAGAGACTCTCTCTTAATCCACACTCTGTCCACGTTTCGTATCTGATTTGGCGTCCCGTCGACTTCCGGGCAGGTGACAGCGTTGTCTCCGGCTATCACGGCCTTTGTTTTTGCGTAGTGCTAACCTGCATGAAAATAATCATAAATTAATAATCAGAATAAAAACAAATGCGGTTCTAGTCGATAGTGATTGATTAGAAGCTATCGCCACACCAAGCCACAAACAGTTCTTGATTTTACTTGAGTTTTATCAATTGTCAATGTAAGAAACTTCAAATGAGTTTTATTGGTTTTTATATTCGTATTCTATTCAATTGGGCAAGAACTTGGATGACAATGGATCAATCATATTCAAGAAATAAATGCCACATTTAAGTTTCAGATAGTTTCCAGACAAAGAATGAAAAGTGTGTGTGTGTGAAGATATATTTGGATTTCACGGAGTTGTCTTCTTTTTAGGCAATTCGAAAACTAGTTCGATCAAGTTCTAAATTAAAAGCAATTGGTTCTTCAATTGTGAGTTAGCAGCTGGTCAATTAACTTGATTAATACAAAAAAATTTACTGTTCGCCTTCATTTATGGATTTTTATTTCGTCAAGTTTATTTAAATTGCTGAAAATTGCCATGGACAAAATTGAGCTAATTCAGCCAAAGTACACGCAACTAAGGACTTTCGCAATAACATTTAATAGTTCTTGATTCATTGGCGCGGCAAAAGGTTAGCTCAGTTCATGCGACCCAATTCGAATGACCTTTGACACATCCAATTATGCTCTTCTTCTTTTATTTCGGGGCTTTCGACTTACTTTTTATTTGTGCTGTGCTTGGCAGTATTCTGCACTGTCTAGATGAAACTCCATAGATGTGGGAACAGGTCTAACCAACTGGAAACAGAATTTGAGCAAATATAATAATAATTAGTACAGTTTCACTTTGTTTTTTTTCTAAACAAATAATTTACGTCTTTTTATGGGACAGATATATGTATAAGATATAATGTAAATGCGAGTAAATTCCAAGTATACACATTTTGTCAAAATGCTTTGTCTCCGAATGTTTCTTTTTAAGAAACACATACGGAATATCACGCCGTCAAATATAGATACAACAAAATAATATTCTATTATATATATACACTTGAGCATACATATATGTCAGGCATATCTGTTCTACATACATACATATATGTATCTAATGCATAGATAATATCTTTGGCAAATATTTGGCTTTTATTCAGGTTTTAAATAAAAGCACACAAACAATTCTTGTGAAACTTGGCATAATATTGATAATAATGGAAAAATGCCATATATATATAAACATATATACATATATATGTATATATGCGCAGATATATGTATGTATGTTGTATTAAGCGAAAAACGTCTGGAAGTGTGGAACTAATTAACAAACCGTTGGAAATTATATAGCTTGTTATTTGTACTTGCTGCATTATATATATTTTGATGTGAATTGTTTAGTCATTCTGGGCACATGATTTTGTATTTTCGCACATACATAGGGAAACTTTCACTTGTTTCTACCTTTGGCGCAATGGGAGCACAGAATCACGCGCAACGAGAAAGAGAACTGTATATCAGCTGTTTACTTGACTTGATTTCTTCTGGTTTTTTTCTTACTTGACTTATGCAATGTATTTTGTTTTGCGTCTTTGCAAAAATGACGAACACACACACGGACACACACGTATACACACAGGGAAAAACAAATATACAAAAGAAAAACAATATACTATGTGTGCGGGTGTGTGTGTGTGTGTGAGTGTGTATTTACATATAGATTTGTATGGAGAATGACGGATATTTGCACTAGTTCGAGTTTGGCTGAATATGGCACCAAATCGAATCTTAATCGCCTGTAATGCGGCGCGATAAAATCTCGATTAGATATCGACAGGTGTCAATTCTAAGACGCTGATCGATTACAACACTGAGCAGACACCAAATGCTGCGCGATGAGCTCTGTTTCATCTTTTGCTATCGACTGAACACTGCCAGCCAAAACGAATCCCACCGTCGCTTACTGTGAGAGCCATTTGCGGCCGACGAGAGAGCGCGAGAGAGAGTAAGAGAGAGAGAGTGCAGACATGACGCACAACTCGACTGAACGAACACGAACGAGTACTTGCTTGATTTGTTTTGTTTGCGCTCATACTCGAGTAAGTGTTTGCCAGCTGTCGAGTACTGTGCGCTCACCCTCTCACTTTGACGCACAGTTTTACTCTCGCTTTGATATGGAATGAATATCTGCATACATATGTATGTATGTATGTATGTAGTGGATGTATGTAACATACGTTGTATATGCACATACGTACGTACGTACATTGCTCCCGTCTCGGAGCCACATTTTCAAATTCTGGCGCAATTTAAAGGCTTTTAAAGCATCTGTCAAACTAAGCGAAATGCATATTATACAAATATATTAGTTTGTGTCGTCAAATATTGTTTAAGCTGCGTAAAATATACAAACGATTTTTGGCAAAGTTGCAAACATTTAACATTCAACTGAAAGTATGCAGTATATACACGAGCCGTCGTGAAACCGTGACTCAACACGTCGTGTTCGTGTTAGAAGCACTTAAGCACGACTTAACAGAAGTTTAAGAAATATTTATATCGACTCTATATACACGTATAAGACTAATTGTCTGGACTGTAAGAGCTGGGAAGCTACAATTTTAACTGTTGTCTCATGTGATGAAATTGGACGCTAAGACAGGGTTTTGGATAATTCCTCTCACAAGTGTGAAAACATAGCGAAACACATTTGTTATGAACCTATTTTTTTTTACCATTCAATGGATCTTAGACCCATTGTTAAGGATCTTTGTTCCAATTCATTTGAGAGGCGGTTTCACGTGGAAAATATAGAACTTACATATGTCTAAAATCTTAAACACAAAACTTGCCACGGGCAAGGCCGGGGAATTCCCACTAGCAGTCTCGAATATGCATCTTTTAAAACGAAACGAGATCGGCCTACTGAAATATTTTTATTTTTGGACATTTTCATGTTTATTTTGTAGTGCGTTATTCCAATGCACACATTTTTAAAAATTTATAAATAGATTAGTTTTTGAAGTAATTTTTTTTCGGTTTGATCGAACAAACAACAAAGTAATAACACATCAAGAAAGTTTTTCATAAAAGATATCAGTAATTAAAGCTCTATAAACAAAAAAAAAAAATTGCTATTTATTTGCCGTTCCGTTTGAACCGGTATCGAAGTATCTCATAACAACTTTCGAGACAAGGTCAATGCTATTAAAGAAAAATAATAAACCAACTTGCGTCGGTTATATTATATACAATTATCTGATGCGTGCGACAATAAACAGTCAAGGTCAAGCCATGAAACTGTTGCAAATGTATCTATCCAATTGAAACCAGTTTAAACATATAATACTGCAGTAAATAGGCACTTGATAGGTCTTAGGCAACAGGTATTACACCCATTTGTAGTGTAAATTGTAATTTATTGCATTTCCTAGCTACCCAACGAGCGGTTCATTCGTTCTATCCCCTAAAACAATGCCCAACCCACGCTTCAGCGCACACGAATCTACTGTTGTCTCAATGGGAGGCCATATATGTACATATGTATGTAGAATATCACATCTTCTGTACTATATAATGTATATACGCATATGCTATATGGTTATATGCTTGAATTCGAAGAGCATTTCGATCGACAATAGAAATCAGGGGGAAAGAGTTGAACGGAATAACTTGCACTTAAATAACAATATATGTACATCTATTGAATGTTGTTTTGTCTAACAGTTCTCAAAAGAAATTTGGTTTTATCTTCCCATTTCCGCCAAATCTACTTTTTTAGTATTCTGTTAACTAAAATTGCAGGTACTAACACATTGGTACTAAAAATAAACAATTGTACTAAACACTTTTTAGAACCGCACTTGAAAATGTCAGTTCAAGCTGGTTGGCAACGTGAAAATGTCAGTTCAAGCTGGTTGGCAACGTGACGACATAACGGTAAGAGAGTCTAACGTATTTATTATTCTGTTAACTAAAATTGTTTTCAATTACGGGTACCAACACATTGGTACATCGTTTCTTAAAGGCAGGGCCTAAAAAATACCCAAATGTACTAAATACTTTTTAGAACCGCATTTGAAAATGTCCCTTCAAGTTGGTTGGCAACGTGACGACATAACGGAAAGAGTGTCTCCCATATTTGGTACTCTATATTTCAGATATGAGGCACTCTTCGCAAAATTATCTTATCTGTATTTATAAATATGCACACACATTGATATAAAAATTCCAATGAAATTTAGTTAAGAGGCAAGGAAGGAAATTTAAACGAAAATCAATGAACGAACTTGAATTAAATTTGAGACAACCGCAAGACGGGGGAAAAAAAAAAACTTTAATAATTGAAGTGGACGAGATAAAGAGAAAACGGGAATGCAAAGATATGAAAGAGCGAGAGCGAGAGAGACGAAAGGTTCGAAGCTTTTGCTGCTAGTCTCTGAAATTGAGGATAAAGTGAGCAGAGCTGAGAGTTGACTGCACTCCGGCCAGACAAGTCAATGCCATTGTGAAGCATGTCGCTGATAGACAAACATACAACAACAACAACAACAATGACACAAAGGAAACAGCAGGAACCCAAGAAATGTCTACATAAAAGAAAACAAAAAGGGAGGATGTACATGCATGTACATACATACACAGCGAATTTAATGTGCCTGAATGTGGCAAATGATAGTCTGGTTTAAGGTAAACTTTAGCCTGAAAGCTTTTCAGCAACAAACACAGAAAATACTCAGACAAAATGTTGAAATTCGCAGACGGAATCTGTCTACTACTTGTTTATGATATTTAACAAAAAAAAAAGGTATTGTAAACAAATTAATTAAGCGATTTGATACGCATGTCATTTAATATGTGGAAACGTGCCTTCTTTAATATGGGAGAAGACTTAGCCCAGACATCGAATCATGTGTTAACTGATTCAAGTCTGCGCACGAATGTCCAAAGGGCAAACAACAACAGCAATGAAACAAAAGAAAATTCTCTTTAATATATATATATATATATATATATTATACTACCCCGGTATACCCAGAAGGTCGTTTTCCTTAAATCTTCTACCAGCTGAGCGAGCGATAGCCCCAGGGATTTCCTTTTATGTGAAGCATGCAACAAATTATTTCTCACATGGAGCATTAGAAGTGAACTTGCGGTCAAAATTAAGAGTAGGCAACAATTATATATATCTACATATATATAATAATAACATAATAAACAAGAAATTAATCTTCGAACGATCCTATGGTGGTTCTACTATATCCTGGACTGATGTGATAGGAATTGGCTTAGTATATACATGTGAATTATCAAAAAGTTTTTCATACTTTTACTCTACTGATTTTTCTCAAATTTTCATAGCGGACGTGTCTATATTAATTCGATTTCTAGATATATATAGTTACGTAAGCCTTACACTTAGTAAATAAACAAATTAGTTTTATTTAAAGGTATTTTACATTCTTTATAGCTCTTTTTATTGTCTTTTTTTTAGATTAATTCTGCATATATAATCAAAGAACAAAAATATATTGGGCACACCTAACTAAAACTAGAGCACTAAAAGTTAACGCGTCTGGTCCGAATTATTGATTTTGCGACTGTCTGAGCTGAAAAGTAGTTGTGATAGGTGGGGCATAGCCAGGGTAAACACAAATGTCTAGGCTGCCTTTTGACATAATGGGAGGCATCGTTAGTCAGGACGACTTGCGGTCCACATTGCCAACATCGTGTGAAGCCCATCTGCGAGGGTAACCTAATACGAACTTAAAGATTATAAAAATTAGCTTAGCTCAAGATTAAGCCAAAAGCAAATGTGTAAGTACATAAACATAACTCTTTGATTTAACTAGATGCAGCATAGATTACGAAACTAACAAATCATTTCGAGTCTTTCTAGAGTAAACTCTCCTCTCATCCCGTTCTGCCAACTGTCAGAAATGATAAACAAACAAAAATCGTTCAGTTTCTTCTTCGTTTTCCATTTCATACAATATAATTCAAGTAAATTGTTTTTGCTAACTCCTATATCTATTATATTTTAAAATTCCCCTCCATCCGCCCAGATACTCTTATCTTATCTTAGTTAGACTTATTTCTTTGGCGTCTTAAGCTTATCATTTCTTCAATTCTAACTATTTTAACTTGAAATTGTAATTTAAGAACAATTTGAATTTTTCTCAAGAATATTTCTTTAGTTACGCCTTCCTCTTCAGCTGTAGATGCTAATACATATTACCTTTTGAACAGCTTCACGAAAATATCCACCATGAACAAAATATAAGAAAAACATCTTCTATGACGTCAATTGATCCTATTTGAGCGAAAAACACAATGCTTTGGCGCTTATCGATTTTAATGCCACAAACATCATTCAACAAAAAAACGCTGGTTATAAACGAAGATGAAACATTTTCTTATACACCGCAGCCTTTGTCCCGCTCTTTGAAATCCAATTCTTGTTAAACTATTTTCTTTGTCTAAATGAAACACTTTATGTTTGAACCAATACAATTTTCAGTCATCAAACTGTAATAAATATTGTTTTTGCTAGTTTGTGTATACATTAAAGAGCTAAGAAGAAATATATATTATAAAAAGCTTTTGATAATAGCCATTATTTTAAAAAACGAGATGTTTGAGAGATTACATACATCCCAACTGGTAGCCAATCCAGACTGAAATGTTTTTTCCTAACGCTCTTTAAGGTACATTTTTATACCCTGTTTACATAGAGAAAACGATGCATGATTTACATTTTTCCCGGTCTTTGAGCGACTGCCAGATTAGGTTTTACTTGTTGGACACTTCCTCTAGGACATGTAGATCTATATGTGTTTTTGTTCTTCTCTAAAAATCTTCGATTGAACCTTGTCAAACTCTATTAACTTGTCAACTACTAAAAGAGATGCACACTTGCAGGTTTAAACGTAGATAAAATT